GAATATTACAGGTATATATATATATATAATGTGTGTGTGTGTGTATATATATAATATATATATATATATAATATATATATATATTATATTTTTTTTTTTTTTTTTTTTTTTTTTTTTTTTTTTTTTTGCTCTTTCTTATGAGTCACATCATTTGTTACTGAAACCCTGTCTTTGATGCTTTTCTACATCAGAACAGATGTAGAATATTAACATTTAACCACTAGATGGCAGAAACAGCTAGAAGCCAACATTTTCTTAATGTTAAAAGCACAGTTACAGCTCGACATTAAGTTGTTATCCTTAAAAAATGTGGACATGCTCATATTTTTTTTTTTTTCAGAGTCGACAAGATGTATTAAGATTATTTTTCCCTATAGGGCTATAATTTCAGAAACAGATTGTCAAATCAAAGGAATTTTTAGGTTAGATTAATGAATTATAAAAAAAATCCCATTGCCAGCTGTGCTTCAGTCCTCTTTCTCAATGGAGACAATGGTCATGTCAGAGTCTAAAACATTTGAAAAGCCAGTGTGTACATGTTTAAGGACAGATACTTTTCTTTCAGTCCTCTAATGTGCCCCCCTCTCTCTCTCTCTCAGGCAGTGGAGAGGCTCATCCACCCCACACTGTGTGAGCAGTGCATCGAGTTCCTGGAGCGCCGTTTAGTTCAGCAGCTCAACAGCAGTGTAGAAAGAGCGAGAGAGGAGGTGCTGCATGCCTTCATCCTGGTTCACACCAAACTGCTCGCCTTCTACTCCAGGTGTGTGCAGATGTTTCCATAAACCCTTCACATTAGTCATAACGTCTAAGTCTGCTTTATCTCAATTTATAGAAGACATATGCCATCTCTGTGCTCGTCCACTCATTCTAGCCGCAATGCGAGCACACTCGCCACCTCAGACCTGCTGGCCCTCATCATCATGGCACAGAACATGTATCCTAGCAACACAGACCTGGATGATCCGGGTCCTGAGGTAAGAAATACTAACAACCACTCGCACAGCACCACCAGAAAATGTTGCTCACCTTCTTTCTGATTGTTTATTCTTTCTGGGCATGCTGTGTGTGAAGGATGTTGAGAGTACGTCAGGTTCTGGTCATGAAAGTTTTTACACCCCAGAGCCGTCCCCTACAGACAGAGACTCGAACAGTTCAGGTGGGTTGTGTCTTTCTTCTTATTGAAAAAACAATGTAGAGAAAGAGTCTTTATTGTCTCAGAGGGAGTTTGTTTTTTTTCACAGCAAAATACTGATTTACATTAAAAAAAAAAAAAAAGAAAAGAAATATGCACTTGGCCACATCTACACACATACACTCATGCCCCTGCCTGCATCCAAGAATGTGTATGCACACAAACAAATGAGTCCTGTATCTGAAACCAATCTCATTTGAGTGAAAGTATATTCTTCATCATTACAGTCTTACACTTTCCAAACAACAGTATGTTGTGTATTTTTGTTTATTACCAGATAAGCCAGAGAGAGGAAGTACCCCTGTGTTCGAGTTTATGGACCCAGACATCCAGGTGGGAGGATATTTGAATGCCTATTCCTAACAGTCAACCCTGATTTCTGATATTCTCTGCAAAAGTAAATGGATGGTTTGGTTGGAGTGAGACCTCGCTATTGGATAAAATAATTTTGTCTTCAGATGGCAGAGGACAGCTTGCAGACCCTGGAAGTTCCTCCTCCTGACCCATCAACCCCTCGCAGAGTCTTCTTAGAGATCTCAAGCAAAGATGGGCTCTATCCCATGATGCCTCACTCCATGTACTGTCTGCCACTGTGGCCTGGTATCACGCTGGTGCTGCTAACAAAGGTTGGTGGATACCAACACACATTCCTGTCTGTATTTGCTTCCTCATTTTGCTTACATGTACACATGTGCACACTCATGACGCTTTGCTCCCTTGTTGAACCCCGTCTGTATTTCTCTCTGTCAGATTCCCACCAATAACGTAGCCGCGTCAGTGTATAAGTATTTGGAGGCGTTCGCCAAGCTGGAGAAGCGTTTAAGTGAAGGCCAAGAAGGTTCTGCAGCTACAAGAGGCACGCTGACGATACACGACATCCGCAGCAAACTGGATAAATTCATTAAAGCCCTGGGGCCTAGTGACTTACAGGTTTGTGTTTTTACAGTTGTCTGCTTTTAAATGAGGCTTTTATATCTCCCCAATACATGCCTACCTTTCATTTGAAGTGGAATACCCATGTAAAAATTAAGAATAACCTTACTTAAGAAAATGTTTTTCTCTATTTTAGCCTGTAATAAAAACTGAACTGTCAACGTTCCTATAATCCTCCTTCATCATTGCAGTTATATTCACAAAACATGAAACAGTTTATAGCTGAAAACATCAAATTCAGTGCCTGTTTATGTTGTAACGAAACTACACTTGAACTGTGCTTCTTATCCCTTCACACACACAGTACCTTGCTATAAATGCTATACTACATTATAATATTAAATTATCTTTTGTTGGAAGATTTGTTTTTTCTTACCACCATCGAATCTTGAATGCATCAGCTGATGATCCAGTAAAAGAGAAGCAGCTAATAGAAAAGTTAAATTAGGCAAAATGGTCAGTTCCTTGTGTATTATATACGAATGAAAATATTCTCAGTCGCTGAATGTGGACAAATAAAATAATCCTTTGTTCATTTATTTTCTATCCAGTCTGCACAGTTACAAAATGTCTGGACAGAGTTCAAGAACCGAGCCTTTGCCAGAGGAGGAACCGGGTTCAACAAAGAGTAAGTGTGCTACAGCCCTCTGCTGGCCATAACAGGTCATAGCAAAGCTGTTGTATGATCCTTTGAATGATTATTACATTCATGTTTATGTTTCAGTCTTATCCCATGGTGCAAGAATATGAAGACCCAGCTGTGTGGAATATACCGACAGTGTTTTCTTATTGACTCTGGACCAGGCGACATTCCTCAGCGTCTCTCCCCGGGTTTGCAGGAACGGGCCCAGACCATGGTGCAGTGCGTATCATTCAACTGGACATTTTCCTTTACACAGTTTTTGTTGTTAACATATTAGTTACATTTTCAAATCTGAATCAGTTGAGTATTTTCTGATTCGGTTTTTAGTACACATATACCTGCAAGACGTTCTGCAATTGTAGCCTTCATTGTTCATGTCTTCTTCTTTCTCTCTCTTTTTCTTTGTCACTGTCTTCTTGTCACCCTCTCATTCTCTCCCAGAGAGAAACTGATGGACTGGAAGGATTTCCTGTTGGTGAAAAGCAAGAGGAATATCACCATGGTGTCATATCCTGTCAGCGAAATAATCCTGCTTCCTGTGTGTGTCATGTTGTGTCTCATCTCTGAGCACTGCTTTGCACAAAACTTAATTAGTAATATTTCTTGAAGTGCATGCATATTTTAGGGGTCTTAAAAAAACATGCATATGCCTTTTAAATTTCTTTGAAATGTAACACAGTTATCCTGAGTGTATTGATCTTGACCCAATTAATCTCACTTACCTGGAGGACTTCCCTGGCCTCATCCATTTTATCTGTGTGGACCGATCCACCGGCCAAATGATTGCACCATCGCTCAACATCACAGAACGCACCACGTCTGAGCTGGGGAAGGGACCGGTGGCTCAGTTCATCAAAAGCAAGGTCAAGCATACTTGGACGTGCACCTCATAAAACTAATTAGTGTGGCATTAATTTGCTGATTTAGAGATAAAGAACACACCAGAAACTGTGAACACACCTGCTTCTCTGTCTTTGTGCTAAGCTAAGTTAACTGTCTCTGGCTTAATATTTACCATAAATATTACAGAGAATTCTCAACAAGCAGAATAAGCATATTTCCAATGTCTTTGTTCATCTTTGTCTTAAATGAATTTCTCTTTACCCATCTATACTAAAGGTTTGGAGCCTGGTCAGCACAACGCGTCGCTTTCTCCGAAAGGGTTACTCCACTGTCACATTGCGTGATGGAGACTTCTACTTCTGCTACTTCCTGTGGTTTGAAAATGAAACGGTAAATTACTGGCACATCACATTTTAGAATCCAGTAAAGTAAAGAAATCAATTTAGTATCATGAAATACTGTAGAAGATAAAACAGCATTTTATAATATGTATATCTGCTCAAACAGGGCTACAAGTTAGAGGCTGGGGACATACCCATCCTACCTGATGACTCTGCCCCCATCGGTATGCTTGCGTGGGACTACTACAGGTAAATAACTGTGCGTGACAAAAATAGATGAGATTAATCCAAGATAGAGTGCTGCTGACTATAGAAAGTGATGTGTCCAGCAGGAAGCTGCTGCGGTACTACAGTAAGAATCACCAGGGTGAGGTGGTGAAGTGCTACGAGCTGCTGACAGTTCACCTGGGGGTCATTCCCACTGAGATCATCCTCCAGCACTGCAGACAGCTGGCAAGCAAACTGTGGGAGCCTTCACGCAATCCACTGCTGTAGACACACCCACACACTTGAACAGAGGCACAGTAGCCAAGGTGCATATTACTGCCTTATTACTGCCATGAAGTGCCACTCTCCATATAAACTGTGTCCCATGTTCCATGATATATATTCAGTATATGGTTATGTATCCTATGATATGTTGACCTGAAATGATTTACTGGAAGCACTTAGGTTTATGACTAGCGCAATCAAACTCTGTTATGCCCTAATGCACTATTTTGTTGTCTTGTATATAGAATATTGACAGTATCACTCCTTAATTATTGTAGATTGTAATATATTCTCATTTATGACCTGTTTCCTATTTATAAGTAATACTGTAGATGGTAACACTTTTCTTCACTCTTTAAAATTTGCAGCTGATCTTTTTTTTTTTTTTAATAAATGCAGACACCGTCCATTTTTGTCTTTTCTACTGCTAGCATCATAACTTGTATGAATGAAACATGCAATAGTTTTTACTGTATGTATAAAACAGATTAATACAGATACTTTTTTGGAAACAATAAATATTTGTATTTTCATATTCACTTTTTTTATTGTCATTGTAAACATAATTTAAATAGCACTGTATGAATCATAGAGCATTGTGTTCCTTTTACAAAATTCAGCCAATTGCTGAACATGAAGACAAATTATTCACCCATATGACAGTTACTATACTTGTAACAGTTGGTAATGTAGTAACTTCATTGAATTTAAATGTGATGTGATGTGACTTCGGTTAATCTCTCTAATCACGGGCTTTTCTAACCTTTTGGAGTTTAATTTACTCACTCGTGAGGCATCCCTGAAGCCTGTGAGCGTTTTAAAGGTCAGTCTGCTCTGTGCAGGATACTCCAACAGGGCACAGTTATGCAGGACTCCATAGAGGCTCACAGTGAGAGAGAGAGAGAGAGAGAGGGGTGCACCTAGAGTTCACTGTATTATCAGTGGCTGCACAGCTGGCTCACAGAGCTCCTGTGAGGTCAGTCACAGCTCCTGCAGCGACCAGGTCCCTCAGGAAGAGCTTCTCAGCGCTGACATCATGCACCACCTGGATGATAAATAAAACCTCGGGGTCAAAACATGAGAAGAAAAGGTGAACCACTCTTTAATCACTCTAAACTTACTTGAGCTTTCATCGCGTCCATGCGTATGGTCTCATAGTAGTGAAGCCTGGCCTCTGGGTGCTGCATATCATACCCAAACCCTGCAAGGCTCACTTGGTCACACAGCTGCAGAGCCATCACCACCGCATTGGCACCTAGTGTTGGCACCATCTACTTGAGAAGAGAAAATACTCTTTGATCTATATCTACGACCTGAATAGGCACCAACTGCTCAGCAATATTTATTTGTGCGAGAAGCAAGAGTCCCTAGTTAAAGGCAGTGGGTAATAAAATGAGCATGTAAGCCTCTTGAACTGAATGTTGTATTTGCTCATCTCTCACTCCCTTGATTCCTAGGCTTATAGCAAAGTCAATACTTGTCTCTGTCAGGCATATCTATGCATTATTCAGGACAAGTTAGGTTACCCAGGCATGACATAGTTCTAGGATCCCTGTTTTTTCTTTTTGCATGCAGTGTTATATGACAGCAAACAACAAAGTATGTGCAGAATGTGAGTGTGTATCACAACTTGCCAAAAGGGAATTAAATATAGAATATGCATGTTATGGTAGAACTCACATTTCCCTGTTTCAGAGCATATTTCTTTAAGACTTGTCCTGTCTTGTGAATAATCTCTGGGTGGAGGATCCTGAAGTTCTCTGGTCTCAGAGGAATATCATCCACCACTTTCCTCCAGAACCACATTTTAGACCAGAAGCTCTATTAAAAAAAGAAAAGAAAAAACGACACAGAAGATGTTGAGCGTGTGAGGCTGCGAGTGTGATTCTGTGATAGCAGTGTTGATTTGATACTCGTGGCTTATGTAATACACCATTTCTTTGTGCAATGGTTTGCGTGATGCAGCTCTCACCAGAGGCTGTTTGGTGATGACAGAAGTGAGCCAGTCCAGGTCCAAGCTCTTAAAGACCACCAGAGCAACCATGGTGGTCTTTTTGTACTCGTTTGCAGAGTGAGGTGCTCCCTCTGGGTAAATCAGGCGGATGGTGGTGCGGGAACCAGCGTCTCTCTCAAAGCCAGGCACTGGAGCATTATTCAGCCTGGTAACAGAGATGAAAATGTGTTTATAAATGTATAAATTAGAATGTATTTTTCTGATTCCTTCCGGCTATCCTTCCACTTGTGTTTGTCTCAAACTGTCACATACATACCTGATAATGATGTCATACTGATCTATGTGAGCTCCAAGATGGCTCCCATGAAGAACCCCTCCACTGCCCACCACCATACACCGCCTGCAGCTGCCTTCCCTCCTCAGGGATGGAGGCAGGCCAGGCTCGGGCAGAGAGGCAAGAGCCAGGGCCAGATGCTCTTCACTGCCCTGGAGCCCCAGAGGAGGGGCCAAGTCCCAGGATGCAGGCCTGTCCTGCTGCACAAACACAGGGATGTCCTGGAGGCCTGCAGAACAGGACAGGGGCTTGAGGTGATTCAGACACCAGCGGGGCTGACAGGGGCCTGACAGAAGGGAGGCTGACCGATTTAGTAAGACCTGAAAACAGGGGCAAACATAAGGAGAAGTTTGGTAAAAGTGTAGAAATGATGCAAAGTTATTGCTAGGATGTGCATCCGTACCAGATCTTTGGTATGTTGATAGTCATTGCTGAGTGTTGCCACCCGATCCAAGGAGAAATATGCAGGGATCAGAATGGCTGAGTAGCATCCAATCAGCAGCACCAGACTGAAGGCAAGGTTCTCACTCCTGTATAGCAGAGAGAGAAAAAAAAGACAACAGAGCTTGCAACATGATCCACGGTATAAATACAGTACCCGAAGAGATGTACCTGCTGAGGAAGAACTCCCTGGAGTCGGTCCTTGTGACCAATCGCTGCCTGTGACTCACAGGTGTTGGTGTCGCAGCCTCTGCAGCCTCAGGCAACAGCGAGGAGCTGTTATCTGGGTCCTCTACACTCAAGTGATTCAGCGTCACCATGGCACCTGTACAACCTGAACCACACAGACACACTTCTGAACTCACAGAAGGGATTTTAATCTTAAAATCTAAAAAAATGTTATGAGCTAATATTGCTTCTCCCTGTAATTAAGGCAAACTTTTTAATAACAACATAAAAGTATTTATAGAGCTTTGTTACTACCATGTTACCTATTACACTAATGTAAACAAACACTGTCTTTTCAAATAGTTTCCATGCACTAAAGCATCAAGAGGAACATAATTTTGAGTAAGGTGAACAATGTAACTTACAGCCAGCCTGGCAGGGACATGAGATGATAATCAACTTTCTCTTCGCCTGTGCTCCATGTCTGATAGGAAAGCAGCAAGAGGCATGTCCTGTAGAGCTAAAATGGCTGCTGCTGCTTCCTACCCAGCTGAACGCTACCACTTCCCCCAATAACACTGGTTAACCATTAACGCGCCACTCAGTCACACTCCGGCAGGAATGCCTGTAAATAAGTGTGAGTGTGTGACCAAATGTCCATCTATAGCATAGAAAAAAGCTGCACTAAAGAATGGACTGCAAGAAAGGGGAAGTGTCCAGATGTCAGTGTGAGAAAAAAACATGAAAAAGACACACTGGCAGACACCTACATTTTTGCTGCACGTACAGCTGCATGTACAGTATATCTACTGTATGTATGTGTGTATAGTCTGATGTACCTACAAAATGGTTTACTTTAATGGAAAAATTCCAAAAGCTGAGGCTGGACAGTGAGTGATTGCTGGTGTGCTATCAAACACATTTACAAGGTATCACTTGACGATAGTGAAACCATAATAAATAAGATAATCCCCTAAAACAGTGTGTTTATGAGGGTTGTACTCCTGTAAAAGAGATGTACACACTGTAGCAGAGTGAGTGAAACCATGGAGCTTGTGGAGTGAATGTTCCCTCTGCTTATGACCTGGGCTTGACATGCCTGAAAGTTTGGATGTACTTGTATATGAATGTGTGTGTGTGTGTGTGTGTGTGTGTGTGTGTGTGTGTGTGTGTGTGTATGAATGTGTGTGTGTGTGTGTGTGTGTTTGCGTTTGCGTTTGCGTGTGTGCATGACAGAGCGCAAAAGAGGGAGAGGGAAAGAGAGAGAGAGGGAGAGAGAGTAGAGCTGGCAAGTACTCACAAACATACATGCTTACACACACACACACGCAAAGTGCACACACACCTGTTTGTTAGGGTAACACAATGTCCCGCCACGAACCCGTCATTCCTGTCAGGAAGCCACTGGGCATGTAGCACTTCTGTATAAAGTGACACACAGTCAACTGCCAAGTTATCCGCCACTCCTCTTTTGTTATACTTGTTTGTTATACTTTTGTTATATACTGCTAAGATTTCAACAGTTCAAAATTACTGTATTGACAGTTTTTTTTTTCTATCTTTGTCCACTTTTTGCAAACAGAGATGGAAGAGGTTGTGCAGTGGGCAGCCAGTGTGATGGACCTGAAAGCAGAAGTAGAAAAGAAAGCTCAGGTAGGTGAGAGACATACTGATGTTCCCAGTGTGACATTTGTGATGATTTTCCATTTATATCGGTATTTTAGACATTAGGTGATAATAATCATTAATCACTCAGCACAAGGGGAACTTTATTCATCACAGCAGCAATAATACTCAGATAATACCCACTGTTATTGTTACCACATCACACGTGGAAAAGGCCTCATTCATGAAAACGTGAATAGATAATTTATGTTAAGACATGTGCATGAATGAGTTGTGTCCCAGAAAACGTGTCAGAACTGAAGTTAAGCCCGTGAACATGAAGCGAAAATGTCTGCCGGCTCACTTCAACATTCATTTGCGGATATAATGGAAAACACATACCACCAGGCATGCAAACAAAGGACCGCTGTGTCACTTAACATGAAATTGCTTGCAGTTAGATGATTTTCTTTTCCACCCTAACCATATACGTTATCCCTGAGTGGAGTTATATTTAACTTAGAACATGAGAGGCAGTTTATTGGCAGTTTATTGGGAACATTACTTTTGTTATGACCATGCCTAACTTGCACTATGCTGTGAATTTATTTTGACATTAACACCGTCATTCCTGCCTCTCAACAGCCCTTAGCCTATTTGGCACTGCTCTGCTTCACAAGCCAATAGTACCTCTCCCACCTAGCTTTTCTAATACTGTTTTCTACATTATTTTTGTTTCTGTCACTTTCAGGCAGAGGAGAGAGTGAGGATGATTGCCTCAGACCTACACTGTGAGATTGTGGACCTGAGTGGAGAAGAAAATATCACGGAGCTGTGCAAAAGGAAAAAAAAGATTAAGACAACATACTCACCCGGGTTGTCTACGGAGATCCCTGTGGTGAGCTACAATTTTCAGAAACCTTATCGTGATGTGCACAAGGAGATATAAAAACTGAATCTCTGCCTCTCCTGTCCCTCTTCTGTGTGTATGTTTGCACGTGTGCATGTTTCTGCTCTGACAGGTGGGGCATGTGGATACTGCAGAATTCATGAATGCAGCCACTCAAGGCAAACTGAATGTGATAGACAAATATCTGGCTGATGGTGGGGACCCTAATGTCCATGATGAGGTATGCTCTCCCTTTCAGCACAGATAAATCTACGTCACACCGCAACAAATCATTTCTAAATAGTCTGTAACATTTTCCAGTTGAAGAGGACAGCGCTGCATCGTGCCTCTCTGGAAGGACACGCCACAGTTGTCCAAAGTCTTTTAGAAAAAGGAGCTGACGTCAACTTCAAAGATCGAGTAAGACATACAGGCACATTGCTTGTGTGTAAAGATTATGATGAGATTATCTTCACACACTAAAGCTCAAACTTCTGGTGCCCTGAAGTCAGCATTACTAATAGGATGGGGCCCCTCTTACTGTGTTTCAGCTGGGCTCCAGGGCCATACACTGGGCCTGCAGAGGTGGAAGCCTGGAAGTTGTCAAAGCCCTGAAGAGCCATGGGGATGACCTGAACGTCAGAGATAAGGTGTGCATTTTATTTGTGCCTATATTTGTACCAAGATAAATATAACCAAGTTAAATATAACTTCACTCAGGGACAAATGCTTGTGTGTCTGTGACATACTGTTATACTGATATACAGTTTGCCAGTTGCATGTGGATTTACATACAAGTAACACACTCACAGTGTATGTCAATGTCCACACTGCAGTTGTACAGCACTCCTCTGCATGTGGCCACAAGAACAGGCCACACCGCCATTGTGGAGTATCTGCTGTCCTGTGGTGCCAAAATCAACTGCAGGGACAGGGTAGGAAGCAGCTGAACAGTGTTTCACTTCCATGCTTCATAATTTCTATAATTTATTTATTATCATTAAGACATTTTTTTCCACGCTCAGGAAGGGGACACTGCTCTACACGATGCTGTGCGTCTCAACAGATACAAGATAGCGAAGCTGCTTATATTTGCAGGAGCTGACACAAAAATAAAAAATCATGTGAGTTTTTTTTTTCCTGTTGTGCATGTCTAGTTTAGCTTGAAGATAAATTTAAAGGAATAGTTTGACATTTTTGGTTGCACATTTTATACCTTTTTTCCCCAAGAGTTACCCTTTTTACCCCGAGAGTTAAATTTGTAAGTTAAATATGATGCTTCAGCCACTATAGGTTAGTTTAGCATTAAGACTGAAAACACGCCAGAACAGCTAAAACTCAGTAATTACTATATTATAGCTTGTTTTTTAATCCATACATAAGCCAAAGTATGAAAACAACAATTCACAGCTTCACAAGGGGATGTGGACCAGACCATTTCATGGTGGAGCACAGTCTCTGCCAAGAAACAATCCAACACATAAGCCCATGTAAAATAGCAATTGACCCTTTTAAAGCCAGGAAACTTTGCTGCGTGTCAAAACCCTCTCCCACCTTGTTTCCCATCTTCTCTTCATTGTGAAATAAAGGGACAATGCCCAAAAGATATATACATATATAATTTTTAAACAAGAAAGAAAAGCTGCTGCCTGGTGACTGCAGCCAGATATTTGATGTACGAATACAAGAGAACCGTTGATTCTCTCATTCAACTTTTGACAAGAAAGCGAATAAGCATATTTCCTGACAGTATGAACTGTGTTACAGGAGGGAGTGACAGCAGTGCAGCAGGTAAAAGAATGGCAGTTTGACATCATGGAGACCCTGCAGAGCATGGAGAAGCTGAGGGAAGTGGGACTGGTGCTGCCTGAAAACACCACAACCAAAGAGTGAATAATGCAGAGTTAAAGCTGTACATTTAATCTTACAGTTTATTCTTTATAATGTCACTTGCTTTGACTATCTGTCTCAGGTTGAAAATACATTCTGTAATTCCACTTTAGGGCTGCGTACATTATATTGGAGTATATGCAATAGGACTATATCTTTTGGACATGAAGCCATGTGATGTGCTCAAAATCTGCCTTTCCAGGACATGGCTGTTAACCTCTGAGATAACTCTGATCTCTGACACTAGAAAATGTCATCCAGGATGTGATGGATTCAAAATGATCTGCTTATCTTAAAAAGACACAAGACTGAGGAAACATAGCGGCATTTCTCCAACCTTTAGCTAAGCTTGAGCTTTGGCATTCGCTTCTAAAGAGCATTATGATCTTAAGAGCACTCTCATGGATGTTTCATATCTGATTAGTGATGCCTTTGGAAGTTAATTAATATTAATAGATGGTGTTACACAGAAGCTGCGTTTGAATATACATCAAGAGGTCCTTGTTTTATCGAGGCGAAAGACAAGGCCAGAGCACACAGAAGGACTGTGTTTGAGATGTCAGCTGACGATAGCAGAGATGGCTGGTATGCCCCCCGCTAAAGTCAGGGATTCAAGGGGGGCTCAGTGGACATATTTTCCTTCTATCATCAGTGGCTCAAATGTTCCTGAGGGAGGTTGCTCATTCAGGCTGGGGAAACGAACCTCCTGCTCTCCTGTTTACAATGAGGCTGTTTATGTACGGTTAGTCATTATACATACAGCTATTCATTTTGTGAGCACATTTTGTTCAACAAATGTTGTGCTGCTGTATTTTTCATAATGTGAATGCAAAGTGCTGTTTTGAAAAGCATGCAGTTACAAGTCATCTGTTAAATACCAATGTGTTCATTGTAGACAACTCATCAGATACATTATCAGCCATGTGCAATACTTCCTGTTCCAAGTGAGCCTGTTTAACTATCAGGGACTGCAGTGGAGACACATGCCATGAACAATACAAGGTTATACACACTATATTAAAGTGTATTTTCTCAACCTGACCCTAACAGAGATACTACCGTATATTTTCAATGTAATATAGGTCATGTATCAAAAAGAAAAGCAGATTCTCCTCTTAAATCTGTTGGACTCATGCATGTTTTACAGCTTTGGTTGTGTCGTGTTTTATTCCATGTGAACTACAGGCAGTGTGCTGCTGCGCTGTGATGTTGCAGAGGGCTGGAGTGGTGTAGAATGAGAAGGGGGATGGGAAAACTGCAGGCTTGTGCTTCATACTGTGTAGCAGCCAAAAACCAGAGGAACCTGTTTATTCATGAAACGGTTAAACTTCCTCCTTCAGCTGCAAATGTTGCAGATTTCAGCCTCTGTGTTAGAACATTATAAATAGCTGTACATTTTTCAGTAAATGTACTTCTTTTTATGTCCAAACCCAGTGCTGTGATACCCAAAGAAAAAGATGTTTCTTTTTCAACACAAGGCTTTAATAAACACATCAACTGTTTGTGATACATACTCAGACCTATTCCAGTAGGATGAGAGGATACTGTGTGGTAGTTTCTCTAAGAGCACTCAAAGCAACATTATATTGTTACTGAAAAAAAAGGTAACCATGGCAATGATATTTTCCAGGCAGGTGAAAGTCTGGACAGGCACGCTTTTGAAGCACCATTTGTTTCCAGTTGGAAATGGATGTAGTATTCCACTGTATTCAATTTCACTCGGGCAGGAGTGTGTAGGCAAAGAAGGCTTGAGCAGGTGTTGTCTCCAACATAGTGGAAAGGAAAATACTATTACATGGTTTGAAATACAGCATATTACACACTGTGCACATACAGCAAACATTAAAGTATCATTGTGTGCTTGTAAATAGCGGTACTGACGCATGCACTGGTCTGCTGTTCTGCTACCTTAATTCTTTCAGATTATGCTTTGCAGCACACTACCGTACCAAAAGGAGTATTCACAGCAAGCAACAGTATGGGCTCATAATACTGAGTATTGATTTTTTTTTTCTTCTATTCATACACTGTAACAACAATGAAAATCAGTAAATGCAAATAATCCAAGTTAGAGATTTAAGGAATATTTACAACAGAATCTCATATCAATTCCCTGTTTAATCTTCGGTCCTTTTGTTTTTCTTGTGCACTAAAGCCTCAGGTGGATTTGTCCTTATTGATTTGTCTTTATTGTTCAGCTGTAAGAAATAACACATGTTCCAGGCTTCCTCACCTATAATATCATTTGATTGTCTTTGGTTGAAGTGCTATGTAAGCAACCCTAGACAAGCTACGTCTACATATGCTTTTTAAGGCCTATTAACAGTTCAAGTACGCTGAATCAATCTGTAATCATAGAATACCTGTGATTGGCTAAAATGGTTAATAAATTCTTAACATCACACTGTCTTAAAATAACTCAGTGACACCATTTTCTACCCCACCAATCAAAGAATTAGCTCTTAATTCATTTGAAAGGTCGGTGAAAACACAATCAGAAACAATGAATATCTATACACCTTACAGAAAAACACATACATTCGAATTACATACTCGTAAATATATATCTGATTTATAAATAATTTCATTCAGCTGCCTCAATTAAGATATATGTCCCTAATTTAATGCATTTAATCATGATTATTTATCAACTTTGAGGATGTCCAGTCATCCAGGTATTCAGGTTAGACAGGGAAAACCTTAAAGAGAATTATCCAACTGGGTTAAATCTCCTCTCCAATGATTTCCACTGGGAGGGGGAGGTTTATTGGAGAGAGGAGAGCTGCTGGACTTGTGAGTGATGGGAGCTGAAATTCAGCACCAGCTTAGCAACGTGTCTCTCTGAGTGAAGGCAATCTTCAAGCAGACCAAAAATTCATTAGGCTGACAGACACCTTAGGGCAAATGGTGCAGAAGGGAGAAGGGGAGGAGAGGGTGCTGTGCTTCATCTGATTTTCAGATGGACACCCTTGAACTTTTTAAGGCAAATGTGAATACTGATCTTCTGAGAAGAGAAACACCAGTGTCAGATTGCATTCCTTGAATAATAGTTTGCAGCAGCATTGTTAATTGAGATTTGATTTTAAAGGTGCCCCGTGGAGCGTGTTTGTAAACAAACAAAAGTTACGTTTACATTCACTGTATTTGACCAAAACGCATGGTGTGGATCTTTGAGGCTTGACAAATATGTTGAATGCATTTCCTTATTATTAAAACCCCCTTGCAAAGCCAAATATTTTTTGTACTGCATTGTTGAGATCCATGTATGCTAGCTTACAGTCTTCTTCACTGGCTTTGTGGAGGCATTTCTACACTACTATGTTCCTTACCACCACCAACTGTCCATCAGCAGAACAGCGTGAAAACTTCGGCAAGAATGTGTGTCGTGTTGCCCACATGCTTGAACACGTGCATGCCCATATATTATAAAAACAAAATGGGGACTCAACACACCAACATTACTCCATAGAGCTACCAGTGGTCAAACTCCACAGGGTACTCTGATGTAATGGCTTGCAGCATTTCTTAAGTGATGTTATCTAGTTAGTAGCTAAAGTCTTCTTAATACAGACTTATTTTACACCTCCTCCTAAATCAGGAGACAAAACCTCTTCAAATTACCAGATGTGCAGTAACATAGTAAGAAGAGGTCTCCCATATTCAGTTATTTGATGTATGAAAGCTAACTATTGTAAAACACTAAGACACTGTTTATGAGTACAAGAAGCAGAACAAGAGAAAACAGCAGCATTTGCTGTTTTTGTGACGTGTGAAATTAAAGGTGTGCTTCATGGTGTTGTGCATTTCAAGTCAGTCATATAGAAAGCCATTTGTTTGGTCAAATTGCACGTGCATTCCAAGCTACAGTGAGGACAAAGCAAGGAATATGCAGAAAAAGAAACAAGAGACTGATGCTCAAAAAGGAGAGAAAGACACAGAGAGAAGAGCTGGAGGGGAGTATACAAGTACACATCCCTGAGGCCCTCCTGGATGGTGCTGGATCCCTGACTGTGTCTCCATCAGGGTCCATGACGGTCAAAGTGCCAGACTGCGAGCATTGGAGGCTGAAGCCTGCGCACGTTGCACCACTCCTGGACACTTCTCTCTCTTCTGTAGCTTGTGGTTTTGAAACAAGCCCTCGTTTCGTGGGACACCATGAGCTCCATCTGGGAAAGTCAATAACCCTGGAGGCATAGACACAGGACACGATGACTAGCCACAGAGGGATATATTGACATCCTTATGGGCAAAGTGTTCCAGTGTTGTAACAGACTTACCATATCCCTCAACCCGTCCTTCTTTGAATTCCCCCTCAAACTTCATGCCATCGTATCGACTAAAGACTCCTGTACCTTGAAATTTTCCATGTGAAAATTCTCCTTCGTACCTGAGGTGGTGAAAAGAGAGCAGGGATGTCATTTCTTACTTTTGCTTGAGGACAAAACTTACTTTTCTTTTGTCTCGCTCTTGCTCACGCACCTGGATCCATCTGTAAAGAGCAGTACACCAGAGCCATGGAAGAGTCCATTCTCAAACTGGCCAGTGTAGCATGTCCCATCCTGAAACTTGAGCTGACCAACACCGTGCCTCCGACCTGGAAAGTTGCACATCGTCACAGTGAGTAATGCCTCAAATTTCAATCAGATGATAAAAACTCAAAGCAAATCCTGAGATCTTGATACCATTTGGCGATTTATGTTTTTCATGCCTCATCAAACCACTTGGCCTCTTATAGATTACTCTTTCGTAATAGTGCATAACATACTGTAAGAGACGACCAGCTGAGTATGACATTTAAACTTCCAATGCGGCTCAGGGTTTTATATTCACTTGGCATTGCCATAGCCTCTACATATGTCACATGAGTCAGTACGTGCTTGGATTTAAGTTTTAAGCCCCCCCCCCCCCCCCCTCCTTCAGCTAAGGGTTTACTACTGAATTAGGAGTCCCATCTGCCTCCTGTGCGGTGGGAATTACAGCTCTCTAATCCATCAGATTTTTTAGCAGGGATTTCTACTTTAGACTGACTGTGAACAGTTAAGGAATGTACTTGCATCCCCCTCCTTGTAGCCTTATGATCCACTACTGCAGCTTAAAATCATGTCAGAGGGCACACACCTAAAAGTTTCTGGACAACTGCTACAACTGGTTTACACCCGCAATCGGCACACCGGAAAAAATCTGCCTAGTTGTCTTTGAAGAATGAAGGAAAACACCAGTTAAAAAGGAGTGGATGGTGTTTACATTGACCTAAAAGCAACTAAAAACCTGAGGCCAAAATAAAATAACCCCCCTAGGTGATCTTGTTCCTAGTGTTTCTATTGATTTGGTTTCTCAACTGCAGCTGAGAGAGGACTCTCTAAGATTTCCCAAACAGGTCCAAAGTCTAATCCAGAAGATTTGACAAAGCCAGAGCTGGTAAATCTGGCTCTACTCGTCATGAGTTGCCAATGCTAGCTAATTGGGATTTGACTAAATAGCTTGAGCTTGCATGTCCCTAGCATCACTTTATGTGTGTTTGTGTGTGTGAGAGAGATAGTTAAAGCAGTGCAAGCACACTCATAATTTTTAGCACACGTGTAAATGTTGACAAGATATTTCCTTTTCACGAAAAGATTGAACATTTTAGTATGCACACATGCATGCAGATTCATGAACAGAAAACCTTTGCTGCCATTTGTACTTGCACTGGACCCCACTAGCTTCTCCATAATAAAATAACGTTATTTATGTAAATACAAATGACTCTAGATATGGAAAAATATGATGGCACCATTAACAGTAAACAGACTGATTTAATGAGCATGAAGCCCAAACTGAGGCAGAGAGTGCTATTACCTTAGCTAATGTCTCAAGATGTGTAGAGAAACTAATTATGCCATTTGTCAGTCTCCTCAGTAATAGCTTTATTAAATATGGTCTAAATTGACCTGCTTATGAGCATGAGACCATGTTGGAATTATAGAAATATACTGTATGTGTTGGGCTGAGCCTATGTGCAGGTATGCATGGAAAAGATTATTCCCCTAGGAAAGTAAAAACATGTGCTAGGGATGCTTGCCAAAATAATGTTCACTAGCAACTATTAATATAAATATTTTAATGGAATATAGGTAATGTGTTTAGTTTTTGCAGATGGCTACCTGCATACAAGAATACTTAGACTAACACTTAACATGTTAATCCAAACGTTATGTAACAAACACTGAATGCATTTTCCCAGTCTGTCAGTGTCTCCCCGTTCCTTTTCACTCTGCTGGTAAGACAGCAATGCTTTGGAGCTTTGGAGACATGTCATGAGGACTAAATGTACTGCACAGAAGGTATAAGTGAAAGTGTGTCTCATCTCTGTAGTTAAGTTGGTGTTGCTTGCACACAAACTTGATTTAAAACTGACTGCAAGAATGTCTTGCCTTCTTTCCATTCGCCATGGTACTCCTCCCCACTGGCATAGGTGAAAGATCCTCTGGTCAGAGTCATGGCACCCCTGTTTTCATTACACGGCCACACACACACACACACACACACACACACACACACACACACACACACACGCACACACGCACACACATTAGGCTCACCACCATTCAGCCTCATGTAAGCAATATTTCTTTAGTTACAGTACCAAACATCATGAATAAATTAGGCTGAGGATTAAATAGCTGAAGCAGGTTTTTCTGTCTTCAGATTTTTAATTGTGGTGGAAATTATTTTCAAAGTTGTTGAAAAGCCTTGCTGAAGGTGCATGTTACTGTAGTTGAACAATGAATAAGGGTCAGATCAAAGGACAAAGACAAGACCAGATGCTATAACTGTCAACCCAAGAAGTCTGTTTAATGTCTAGTCTACGTTGGTGATGTTGCTGGTGTAAATCTAGTTTAAAAGCACACTTGGGTGAAACCTCTTCTGTGCAGGGACAGACTGGAAAACGTGACTGTAGAATGGCTGCAGATATAAACAAAAGCTTATTGCATGATGAGCATTTAAAAAAATATTGTTCAGTATAGCTCTTGCTTTAAAACAAATGACAGTGTACAGAATGGCAGTCAGGTGTAGTTTTACCCATGCGGTCGCCATTGATTAAATAATTAATCAACTCACACCAAGTCTCAAACGTTACTGTAAATATCCAACTTAGGCTGTCAATACATGTTTCGATTCAGTACAGCCTTTACATACATGTTGTTGAATAGGCTGTCGCTCACAATGACAAGCCCATGTAAATCGACTGTGCCCTACGGCACCACAACAATGAGGGAAAAGCGACAACACCTATTAACGCTATCGGTTACCTGAACGCTACGTTCGTCTCTGAAGCATGGAAACCACCGTACAAGAACCGAGGGGCGTAAAAATATGAAAACACCGGCTGTGAAACGTATGCCGCATTCAGGTGCTCCTAGTACGCCCCGACATTCGAGATCCGGAGCCTTAAAAGATATTTACGTAAGCTTCAAGTGTGCTAGCTTGGTCACAAATGACAAGAAACTCTCCAACAAAAGCGTTTTTGTTTTATTTTAGAGATTAAGAGGAACGGGAGTTTTAAATCAGCTGCATAAAAATTGCGAAATGCCTTCCTATAACCTACATTAAAATAAAAACATCACCATCTTTAACTTTTTTCACGTGCTCTTTGACCAATAAAGACTCAACTTAGCAACTTTTATTGAAAACCATTCACTCTATGCAAGCCGTGTTTACCTCTGTTGTCGTGTTCGTGGTGACGTTCAAGCGCGCTTCAGCTCTGGATTGCAATAACTCCGACGGCTCCTGAAGGCAGCATTACAACAGCATCATTGCAGCCTGACCGCCGCGCTGTTTCATTGCATGACTGTTGTTGACTCTCATTGAAAACTTTCTCTGATTGGCCTAGTGTGCCACAGCTTACAGACAGTGGCAGACATATTTATAAAAGGCTGTGGGGCATTTTCTGAAGCTTCTTGAAGCACTCAGCACAACAGCTGACAGGGAAGCCCACAGTTTAATTTGTCTATAGTCGAGGAAGCTACATTATGTGTATTGTGTAGGCCATACACTGTATTGTAAAATATAATTAAAGATGTGGTGATTTATAATATGCAATATATACACGATATTATATTTCTTCTTACTATTAATGATTGGTGGTGTGAGGATTCTGCTAAGTGCACATAGGCATGAAAACGTTTTTCCCCTCAAACAAGATTACATTTTAGCTTAGGTCAGACAAAATTTCATAAATAGCATGGCAGTTTTCAGGAATAGTACTTATTTTGTTTGTGCATGGGGCTAAGCAGGATAGATACTACTGTACTGTACTACTGTAGATTGTTCCTCTTCTTGAAAATCCAATTAAGGCACCAATATACTACAGAAAAGATGGTGGAGAGACATTGTAAAAAAAAACCCTCACCCCACACCTTTTGTTGGATTCCACCATGTTCTCCCTACCATTTTAACATTTGCCAGTTGGCACAAAACACAAAGTAGGCCTACAGTTAAGGCTCATGAATGCCATTAGTTATGTTGTTCGTTTGTTCATTAACCAAATCATTGAACAAATTTAAATTTTTACCTAATTGTGGTGTAAGATGAAAAATGAAGTGATCAGTCACCAAACTGATTACAATGCATACTAAGGGGAGAATGAATGTGTGTAGCAAATTTCACTGCAATCCATTCAACAGTGTTTAAGCCATTTTACTCAAAACCACACATGACAACGTCGTGGTGGCGCTGGACGAAAAGTTGGTGGATCACTAAAGTCAGTTGCATACATTCTCTGGGAACCATGACTGTCTGTGCAGAATTTCATGACAATCCATCCAGCAGTTTCCATCACCAGAGCCATGCCGAAAGCACTGGTTAAAAATCCAGGATCTATCTTTAGGTGCAACGATTTCACAATATTTTAGCCAATTAAACAAATTACCACATACTATTTGCCAAATAGTAAACCTACCCCCAGGGTCCCACTTTGGTATAAACCACCCCACGTTTCTATTTAAGAGGGAACGCATTTGATGTCAATGTTTAAATCGGTGGGAAAATATTATTTATTTATTCACTTATTCGTATGTCAGTTACTGGCTGACTGATTTAGTAGGTCTATTTGGTTGGGTTACTCTGAATGAAATCAATGAGCATTTCCCTTTGGAGCGGCTTCCTCCCCGACATAGAGGCGCGCGCGTTCACAGAGCAGAGCGCTTCCTCTTCCCGTGCTAGTGCCCGCCAGACAAGAACGATAGAAAATGGCGAGTCAGTGTAAAAGGCAGCAATGCACAATCGACAGGCGCGGCTTTCGGCAGGAACTTGACTCGTGGCGACACAAACTTATTCACTGTGTAGGTAAGGATAATACCAGTTACACACTGTACAATTTTACAGGTTGAATTTCGTCTCTGTGTGGCCGTTATCGGCGTAAATAACCATCTATTACCGGACTCACTTGGGGCATCTCGACTTTTTTGTCCTCCGCTGTTTCCTTCTCTCGGCAGGCAGCCTGAGCAGTTAGTTAAATGCTGCAGTTTGTGACAGTGCTAGGCTACTTCTTGTGTTTCCGTACAGCTTTTATTGTTCTTAAATCCGAACTGTAGACTTTAGTTATCTACTGGCGTAACGTTAGTTTGTTTAAAGGGCACCGTGCTTGTTTTAAAGGGAGTGTCATTAGGCGTTGCGTCGGCCAAAAGATCCCGTTTGCAGAAATGCGCGTCCCCGTGTGATGATACTGTATTTTGGATGGGGGAGGGCGACATATGCTCGTGGTGGATGTTTTCAGTTAACATTTAGATCACTTGTTTTCTCAGATCACCTCCTGTGGGCGCGCATTACTGCATTGAGGAAGTGGCTGAGACCCTACTGCTGTGGGAGTTTCCGTTTTCGACAAGAGACCAATAAACTTCTCTAACTTCTAACGTTAGTTGGTGTGTGTGGCCTCTCAAAACAAATAATTTAAAAGGCAGTTGTTGACTTAAGGCTTAGAGCTCATTGTGTTGTGTATATCTGTGTTGGGCTGGAGGGTGGGAGTTGAAGCTGAATTATAATTTTGTGATAGCATAGCTAAAGAGGTATAATCTATAGGAGCTAGCAGAACATATATAACCATTGGAAGATATTTTGTATATGCTGGTGGAATGGCTCACTGGTCTGTTGGTCAGTCCAGCACTTTGGTGCAGACTGAAATGTCTTCCTCTAACACCACCATTGGGTCAAAGATTTCAGTTAACCTGTGAAATATCTAAGCATCTACTTGATGGATTTGCGCAATATTTGGTTCTGACATTCATGGTTCCCAGATGATGTATCCTACAGGCCTTGGTGATCTCTTGATTTGTCCCCCTTCCTTCACCACCATGAGGTTGACTTTTTTTAATTAATATATTTTGATTACTATAATCTAGATTGCAGTGAAATTTGGTACATGCATTCATGTTCCCCAGAGGATGAATTTGAGAATAGTTTGATAACCTTACATCTAGTACCAACATCAGGTGATTTAATCCTGTACTTTGGTTTATGACCAAATATCTACAAAACTAACGTTTCCATCAGTCTCAGCTGTATTTTGTGTTTAGTGCTAATTAAAAAATGTTACCATGCATACATGCTATGTAAGATGGCGATAGTAAACGTTATACTTGCTAAGCATTTAGCTCCACTGTGCCCAAGTAGAGCCTCACAGAGCCGATAGCATGGCTGTAGACTCTTAATGTCTTGTAACAAGAGCCCAGGTTAGGAAAATTTAAGTGTATGAAGTATACAAGTAAATTTAGCTACATCTCAAGTTTATCCTCATTGGTCTGTGTTGCAGTATATGTGCTATGTAGGACTAATATCCTATAGCTGAACATACTATTTATTGTAACCTCTTGTGTTCATGGATGGCAAGTAGACATAAGCTGTAGCCTTGGTTTTACATGCTGTTACTCTGCTTCAAGTGAAGCAAAAGAAATTGTTGTTAAACAATTTGATATTGCTGCTTTATCACTGTAGACATTTCTGTTTTTGACTAAACAGATATCCCTAATATCCTTCCATGTGCAATATGTAGTTCTGTGATGCGTTTTATTTTGCTCCACACATATTCATTCATTCATTCATTCATTAAATTGACAAAAGTAGTTTTTTACAGTTTGATTGAAGGGCTTGAAGAGGATGGAGAGGCCATTTTTAGACCCATGCCATGCCAACCTCCGTCTTATGATTTGGTAACATAGCAACAGCCAATGTGGACACTCTGCACCATAGCACACAGATTCATCATGCAAATGAGGAGCAAAGAGTTGCTAAAACATTCATGAGCTACAACATAAACATTAGTTGACCCTAATGTTCACTGTAAAATTACCTCAAAAGTTTTTTTACTGGCTTAATCTTAGTTCATATTTAGGTTATTCTCTCTTTGATCAAGAAACAGATTGTTTCCTTTGTTGACTCATTAAGGAATGCAGCATGCTTCATTAAAGGACTAGTTCCATATTATGCAGGACTGCCTGCTTTTGGCTGGATAGAAAACAACTTGCAAGCCTGAATCATGAGTATTAAAATCTACAGTATACGACCACAGATAAATTTGTCAGTCTAGGTCTTTGTCAAGGGTCCGTGTGATTTCAATGCAAAATAGCTATCAATTTTAATACTCAAACATTGATATATTTAGTGTTTTTCCTTGTGATTTGTGGCAGAATGTAAAATTGGATTTTAAGCAGAATCAAACTCTTAAAACCTAGAATGCTACTTCTGACGCTGCTGATCTCAAAATGTCACATTAAATCAATCTCACTTAAAGTGGCCACCATTTATAGTCTTATTGAATGTTGCATGTACTATGTGGCATGGACTATGTGTCACAAAATTCTTGACATGAGTTAAAAGCTACACTTATGTGAAGATTCAGGAAGCAGTAACAGTGAATCTGACACTAATGCCTATTAAGTTTTCTCGTAATTTAAAAGTTTTGTGGGGGTTGTGGTGTGGTGTATGTTGAAATTTTCAGCTCTTGGCTTATTTAGGGCAAGTAAGATGCAGTCTTCATAATTAGAAAGAACAAGTGCAGCAAAACAATTTACACAGAACAACTAAAGCAGTCAACCCAGTGCTCATGACTGTCAGTCATTGACCAGTTTAGGTCCAGCGTTATGTATGATGGTTTGAATGAACGCAACAGTCTTTGTTGTAACAGTAGGGCTACAACTGCTCAGGTGAATCTTGGCACTTGACACCACCTATTTTACATAGGATTCTCAGTTTGGACTATCAGTTAAAGTAATGACATAGGTTATTGATATGTGTGGACTGACCCAGAACAAACTTATTCCAGTGAATGTGCTACAACACTAGGTGGGCTATGTGCTCATCATTGAAAAGAAAATGGAGAGAATAATAGCTTTCTGACTAGTCACTAGCTCCAGACCCAGGACTATTCAGTTAGTCAGTTCCCCCTTTATGATTGACAAATGTCCCTTGTGTTTGGGCTATAACTGTAAAGCTGCAGAGTACATGACAACAGCATCAGTCTGCTGGCTGCAGAATGGCATATTCTGTCCATGACAACAAGGACATACTTTTGTTTGGCTTTTTGGTGGAGAGGGCTGCACGCCACCACCACCCTGCTGATGCTGAAATGGACATTTTGTCTTTGTGTATTTAATGTGACTAGTAAAACTGCAGGGCAGAGACAAGGGCAATTGTCCCATAGAACAGCAGCAACAATTGTCTGTATGTTTGCCTATACATGTGTTCATGGTCCATCGGCCCCCGGAAAACTGTGTGGCTGAAATGTGTGTTCTGTCTTGATTTGGGAAAATTTGGACTGAAGAGCACCAGCTGACATTTGAAAATGCCTGGAATGTCAGTTATTCATACTTGCGTTTGACATGTGGGTGAGTGGGATTGAGGATCTGCTCAAAGAAATAACATGCAAAGATTGACACCAGGCAGACTTCTTGTTCATAATTTAAACTTTAGCATGGCCCATTTTCTACTCCAGTATGCCCACTGTGATGTCCTTTTGGCCTACAATTTCCTAATTTGAAAAAAGAGCTGGTTGAGGTTTGTTGACCAACAACTTAAATGTTTCATATGAAATGCATGTCTTTGATTGTGTGTTTATCTGTGTGTGTGCTTGAGCGTACATGTTTGTGTGCGCCATTTTTTTTTTTCATATTTGCTTAAAATCATAGTGGTCTCATATTTGTTATTCAAAGTTATATTTTGTGCAGCGTTACACCATTTGACTGTCAGTTTGCATCATATCACATTAAGTATTCATGGAGTGATTCTCCCCACTGTAGATGTTGCTCAAAGCTGCTACGCCATTGCCCGCGGTATAGGCTGGTCCAGATACTGTATATTGCTTGTAATGAACATAATGTGTAGTTGTCAAATGACATTTCAAAGCACAATTTTGCTCAAGCCCATGTAATGTCTCAGCTTGACTGTTGACCTGTAACAAATTCCTTTTTTGTGGTAGCATAGTATGCAACAGTAAATGCTTCTTATATGGTTAAGCAATTAGCCTTGGTCTCTGTGTGATGAGTTCACTTGGGATGAAACTAGGCATGTACTGTGGCTCAACTAATTTGTGCAACTTTGTCATCTCTGCGCTCATCCTCAGCCCTCAGCCCATCTTACATCTTCATAGAGATTGCTCAGGGATATCAGTGACTCTCTTCATACCAAATTACTATCTTGTGAGCATCACAATCTGAACATCGTTATGATTCTAAAACATGTTGCAGTTTTAGAAAATAAAAGAATTTGTCGATGACCAATCCCTCTTCAAAATGCTGTATCCAAAGATGCCAAATTTAGAAAGGTTGATTTTGGATACAGATTGATTGGAGCTCTGGGAAGCTCCTGTTCTGTGAGCTTGTGGTCACTCTTTCTGAGATCGTATGTGTACAGTAGTTACCGTGGGGGATGGGTTGAGTGGGGGTTGATGCAGCACTCTACACCCTCAGCACTAGAGCGGCAGAGGGAAGGGTGGGTCATCCAGTGGAAAAAAAAAAACACTGCAGTCCCATGATGAGGCTAAATGTTAACATTTTATCACAATTTTTGTGATTATGTAAATGGGTAGTTGCAAATTCTATATCAATTTGGGTGATTGGTTGTAGGAACAACAGAAGACACATAGAAGGAACCTATGTTCAAGTCTCTTGTACTTATACAGGTGTTTTGAAATGTATGTGCATTGTCTTCCTGCTGCCCACCACAGATAAAGACAGAAAAGCTGTAATAAATGTAATAAGCTGGAATAATCAATTACTGTGGTTTGTCAGGTGAAAACTTTTGACCAGGTTTATGAATGTTACTTGTACGTGGACAGGTCCAAAATGGGTGGCAGAGAATTGGGTAAGGTTACCTCTGGTTGCCAGCTGTGGAAGTAAAAGATGTTACATGCCTTTTTGTTCAGGCTTTTCATTAACACACATTCATTTACACTCAAATTCGGTCGACTGTGCTGTTAATGGCATATTGAAATTAGAATTTGAGCACTGAAGAGCTTGCCAAGTATGTTCAGGAGTGTTAATCAATTCACTTTTGTTTTGAAATGTGATAATCTTGGGACTCTAGCTGGAGTCTTCGTTATAGTAGCTGCTGACGAGTGTCATGAGTACTGCAGTATAATGCCATATACCAACTGAAAATACAACATTTCTCAGGAATTAATTAAACAGTTGAAACATTTATAACCAAGGGCCACACAACTACCCTGTAGCATCACTAAATTATCTTGAGGAAACCTTTGTGAAAAAATGATGAACAGTAACATTGAGATTATCATTATAAAAAACCTTTTTATTGCATAATATAATATATTATGTATAATATACACTGGGAAGAAAATACTTCTGGAACCATGTAGAAATGTGAGTTAACAGTGATTGTGATATTTAAAGCCTCTTTATCAATGTAGTAAAAAGCTCCTCTCAATTTAAGTATGGCATTGAATTCCCTGAAAGCACAATAGTTGTAGGCAGCATCATGTCAAATAGTGCTTTGAGCATTGACACTTGAAAAGTAGGTCACATGTTTATTACTGTTAAATGAGAAATTACAACAAGCATGTTTTGAATCACTGGTGTCAGTTTCATTTGTCTTTCAGTACTAAATTAAGCATATTCTAATGAACATTTACTATGTCATGTACTTGCACTGCAGAAATTGGCAAGGGGGTTGCTCAGTGATTTTTATGCAAAGGCTGATAAAAGAAAAGTGACCTTTTGGCTATACTACCAACCCATGTAGCACACATGGCCAGCAATAAGCAGTAAAGAGGGTTTTATCAAGCACTATGTTCAGTTCCCAGTGAAGTACACCATAGGTTAACGTTAGGATTTAAGGGGGGTTAAGCTGATCCTAGACCTGTGGGATTTCTCTTTCTAAGTGCTGGTGGGAAGGACAAGGGTGTCACACAATCCAAATATTTCCTCTCTTCCTGGCTCTGATTGGCTGGAGATGTAGGTCAAAAGAAGGCTAAGACAGATTGGGCAGATTTGTTGTTCACCGTGAGCGTACATAAGCTCCATGAAAAGACCTAGACATTTTCATGGTCAAGGTTTGTGGCTGATGCTTAACTTGAATCATTAATTGAGTTTTAGTGCCAAACTGCTCATACCACTTATAGATAAAAAATAATAGATGAGATATATATTATTAAGTACTAAAAATGGTTATACATTGCAGCCCTAATCTACAGTATTATGAGCCAAATGCATTTATCAAGTTGAGAGAAGACCCTTGAAATGTGTTTACTTTCACAATTATCAAGCCTCAAAAGCCATTGAATTATCCTGAATTTAAAAGGTCCAATTAACCTAACCTAAAATTAAATTTACACTGAAATTTTAGTGGGGCAAGTCAATCTGAAAAAGGAGCAATATCTCTCTTGGTTGAAAAGTTGATTGCAGAGACACTCCAATGTAGGGCAAGTTTCTCAGGTGCATATGCATAATCACACAGTTCGCTCTCCTAGTTTACATGTAGCCAAGCCCACAGACAATATAAAGAGTAAGTATGTAAAAATTATTGCTGGAGAGTATTTTCTCATCATTAAAAATACAATCAAGTGCACATTGAGAATGTCTTCATAGGAGTCCCTAGTCATAGGAATGTGCAAAATAAATGATGTATGAATGAAAAGAAAACTGTATTGACTTGTACATATTTATTAATGCTGAACTTAAAACATTTCCATACAATAAATATAAAGTAATCAATAACATTTAAATAATATTATTGTTTCTCATTTATTTAAAATGAGCCAATAAGGAAATTACAGTGGGTGTGAGGTCAGCTTTGGCGATGCCTTTTCCATTATTACATGGTTAAAATGTGAAACTTTAGTTGAATGAATACAAATGTTGCTGCTGTCATCTCCTCTTCATTTTTCATTCCGGCAAAGACTTGTTGTTTTTATTTTTAGTTAAGCATACCTCTGTATGAATTAAGCCATCCCCTCACTCAACTGTAAATTACCTGGAGGCAAGCTGTGATATGCATCTGAAGTAAACAAGAAACAAGCCAGCAAAGGTTGGAAATAGCAAAATGTTCTTGAATCATAATTCCCTCATATGGAGCTCGATGATTGACATAAATGACTAACTAGCTCCCATAGTTAAAAAAAAAATGACTAACAATTCTGGATAAAGGACTAAATCTTCTAATGAGGCTCAATGTCATGTTGTCAATGCAATTAGGCCTGTAGGCGTGATTTCCCCCCCCCAATGTTTGCAATGGATTAAGATTGCCAGCCTCATTAACCTGATATCTTTGTCCTGAGTGTCCTTTCATTAGTCCTCGAATAGTTTTAAATTTTATTAGGTGTTTAGCCCGATGGCACATAATACGGGACTCCTTTTTTCTTTTTCTCATTATCACTTTGTACCTCTATACCCTGTGCTTATTATTGTATCTGGAGGCTATCAGATCACTATATATCAAACCAGATGTGTAGCAGCAGCTGAATGGTGGCCTAATTCCTCTCCAGTATAATTAATTGGTGGAAGTTACTTCAAATAGGAACTAAAGTGACGTGTGATTTTTATTCAGATTTTTGTGCATGTGAACTGTAACTATTATTCTTTTTCTTTTTTTTTTTGCTCATTTATTTTGTAGAGCTCGCATGACAGCTACGCACACTATCAATATTTTATCCATTGCACATGTAGGCAGCTTGCGCTTATAAATTTTAGTTGCTGGTCCCAAAATGAGGCTTGTGTGTAGAGGTTCTTTTCATCAGCCACTACACCACACTATGCTCTGCCAGTTGGAAAGTGTTAATATTGCCTCAAAGTCATGGTTTACAGCATGACACATTTTTAAATGCCCTAAACAGAATTCCTGAAGAGTAGTTTGATGTCATGGCGCTGCTTTGTCAAATGAAAGTGGATGACCTACTTTTCTCCTCCTGCCTCTGAAATATTTCAGAAATAGGATTGGATAGCTTCAGCTGAAGTCCTGTGCACTAACCCAGAAACAGACTCACGTTGCAGCTATAGGCAAGGCTGTGTTTCACCACTTTGCCCCCCACCACCCCACCCCCCTTTATGTTTGGCTGTTGAAAAGTGGGTGGGAATTTGTAGGGAAGCACAGCGAGGGCATTTTAACAGATGACAGCCTTCAGTGAATTCACTGTGAGTTTAGGAAGAGAGTGGATGGTAAGGGTTGATCATTTTCTCACTTGTTATCTGTGAAGACATACTGTAAGTAGGCCTTTACTATAATGTTTAGTTTGATAATCAATTCAACTAATTTGGCTAACTTAACATGTGATATTCATTGTCATTAAGGCCTTCATATTTTTTACATATTTTTAATTTTCAGTGCTACTAATGCATATGTGTTTTACATAGCTTTTTAATAACCGTCTTGTGTTTTTTTGTCAGCATGATTTGATTCATGATTTTGCTTTGACCTTTTATTAGTTCTTAGCACATTTAGAATAGTGCTCTCTCTTTACATCAGTAGACAGATGTTACCTCTGACCTCTTTAGCGCTTGATTTCATGCATCTAGTGGTTTTGGATTGGTTATTTTAACCCTGAGGCAGTAAGCAGACACTGCATATTGTGTTAATGCACTGTTAAATGAAGCCCTATGCAGCATAATTCACTATATCAATATATGTCTTTATCAAACAGCTGGGACTGTAGGATACCACGATCTCTTCAGCAATGCCTTTAAGATTTTTCTAAGCCTGTATATGTGATATAAGATGTTTTGCTATTGCAGCCAGTGTTTTGTAAGTTACTTATCTGCAAACTATAACTTAGTAGACTGTGATCTGGTTTTGGTTGAATTCTGGATCTGTGATATTGTATAGGTACTTTGACACCAACTACCAGCCTTGTTTCTGGCTGTTTCCTTTTAATGTTACAACGTGCAGTCACTCCCAACTCTGTAGGTACTTCAGTTGCTTGGCAACAGGAGGATGGAGTGCATGTATTTACTGTTGAAGTAAAGCTGATAATGTGTGTTTTAACAGAAGAACAGGGTTGCTTACAGGGGTTGTCAAGATGAAGTAGAAAGGAAAAGACAAGCCTGGGTGTATGAATAAGACATTATCACATGAAATGGCAGTGATGTACAGTAGACCAGGTTTTAACTATTTTACAACAAATAACTTGTGTCCCTGGGCAGGTAAGGTTGTCTTGTGTTGTGTTCATTTTGAGTTTCTGTTCGGCTGCTGTTGGTTTCAACACCAAGGCTTAATTAGGACTGAAACCTAACAAAAGCTAGGTCAGTGTGCTATTGTATGATTACCATTGACAACTGCCCATTTGACTGAATTTCATGTCTTTCCTCAGGTTTTGAGAGCATCCTTGAAGGTCTCTTTGGTCCAGAGTTGGTAGAAGACCTTAAATTATTTAAGGGTAAGTATCTCAGACCATTTCCTACATCGTAATAGTGGCCAGGATCATACAAATGTATGAATGACATGAATGAGAATTTTGTAGTTTGAGTGTAATCTGTTATCTGCTCATTTATGACAATGCAGCTGCATTGTACCATCTGGTACCCCTCTACATTCACTCTACAAGACAGCCCCTCTGGCTGCAGAAGAGAAGATGCCTTGTGTTCCTACAAAGTTGGTGTTTTGGATGGTGTGGGGCCAGAGTAAAAGTCTACAGTGTCCTACATACATTTTTACAATGCATGATGTTAGTGAGACAATAGTGGGCATTATTTGGGGTTTGATTGCATTGCAGTAAGAGGACTGTCTAAGTCTAAGTAGACCTTCTACAATAGCAGTTAGGGAGAAAGTCCGCTGAGAATTAAATTGAACTGAATCAGTCTACTCGATCAGTTTCACTAACACAAATCAAAACAGTTTCATTATGACCGACTAATTCATTTCATTCATACATTTGTCATTGAGTCTCAGCACTGAGGTGTGCTCTGAAGAATATTTGTTTGAAACCTGCAGTGTCCTGTATTTGGTTTCAGTCTAACAATTTTTTATGATGCATCCATGCATCCTACATGCTGCTAGACCATTTGGTTGTTGTGCTGCTGCTGATGACAGTACCTTAAAACAAAACACACTATATGCATATCAATCAGGGAATTGGAGGACATCTGTTATTTTTATTACAAAAACTAAAGAACAAAGATGTTTATCATCTGTTTTGTGTCCACAGATTTTGAGCCAACAGGAGTATCTGACTGGTCATTTGATGAAAATTGTCTATTCTGCTGTTTGAGACGAGACAAAGTAAAGGTATAATTTCTTATTTCTCTATGACTTTTTTACATTCTGGTGAATTTTGTTCAGTTGTAGGGGGAGAAGTAAAAGTAGCTTTCTCCATGATTCTAGCCACTGTGGTGACAGAGCATAGGATGAAGATCACAATCCAGACTTGAAGCTATAATTTTAGGAGTGCCCCAGAACTTTTAACAGCAGATGTGGCTTGGATGATGGCTAGATGAATTTTAGGAGTACCTTTAGCGTGCTTATACTCGCAAATCCATGATGGTTTCCTAGAAGAATTAGTTACTGTTACAAAGTGAGGAGAGTGAGATTAATTCAGTCAACTGAAAAAAAAACTTCTTTTGTCTTGTTCAGTATATATGCATCCTGTTCTCTGAAGACCGTTGACTGACCCATTTTGTCATTTGACAGGAACACTTAATTGGCTTAAGCAACGAGGGGCTTGAAGACGCACACAAACCTCTCCTGGTGAAAGATCAGACTGCAATCAGCAGATTAGAGAAACAAGCCGAGGAATTTCTCAATGCAGTTCTCTGCAGAAAAGGTAAGTAAATGTCCCAGTGACAGAGTAGGACAAGTGCATCAGTATGTTGCAATGTTATGACAATAATAGCTGTTGCTTATTATGTTTTTATTTTGTTTATGCTGTTATTTAAACTTTTATTTACATTAATTCAGATTGCTTCAGCTCTTATTGCCAATGGAAAATTACTTGGGCATTGTTTACATACACTTGTAGCTAGCCGTAAAGGATAAAGACCTAACTGTTTTTACCTTTGTATTTTTTCCTTTCAGATGTGCCAAATTTCTCGGACCCACACATTCCAGTAGTGGCTCGAGAGATCCTTCAGAGAATGATCCGACAGTTTGCTGCCGAATATACCTCAAAAACCAGCTCCCCTCAGGACAGTTGCTCAGATTCTCAGCCTCACTCTGACCAAAGCCTGCCGACCCCACCCTTGCTCTCAGGGGCCCCTCCTCCTACCAGCCCTGCTGCCACCCTGGCTGGGCCTGCACACAACCAGAACCCCGTCCTCAGCAAGCTCCTCATGGCTGACCAGGATGCTCCTCTTGACCTCACCATCAAGAAGCCCCCGGCTGAGCCCAGTGAACAAGGTAATGTGAAGTTAAACATATCTGTAACAGAGCAGCGTGTATCTAGTCTGAACCTAGCATTGAATTTATTATTTTTTTTTATTTTTATTTTTTACAGATGGAGTCCTTGACTTATCTATCAAAAAAAATCGCTGTAGCAGCAACCTGCCTGTCCGTAGTCCCTGCCTTTCTCCAGCCACATCCACACTCAAGGGGTAAGATAAGTTTCTTTCTCTTTGTCTTTTTAGTCTCCAGTCCTTAAGCAGTAATGTTTTTAAGGATATGTTACATTGTACTTTAGGATGACCACAAAATGGATTTGGAATAAATTGGATTTTTTAACTGATGTGGTACTGGTTATGTGTAGTGGTATCACTGCAAGGGGCTGAGGCCTGAAATTTGAGTCCTGAAATTGGAGATCACTCAGCCAGTTGGTTACTTGATGAAAATGAACAACAACAAACAGGGTCATGCTAACAGAAATGTTTTTGGCCACAAAGAAAAATAATTAAGTTTTTGACCAACTGCAACAGAGGAAACATCTTCCATGTGCTTCTGCTGCTTGATTCTGCTTTGAAACCTCACTCCAGTGCGTCCTAGAGGATGCCATTTGCATCATGCTGTCGTTCAGAATGAATTACCCTGCAGGCTTTAAGTTAATGCAGCTGCCTGCTCCTCGTTTTTTGTCTGACAGGTCACTCTTATTACCAGCTAGGGACTACACGAGCAGCATCTTGTTAGTTTGTGAGCTATTGTGGCTTAAAAGGATTCTGTTAGTTTGGACTTGTTTTTGTTTTCTGTTCATTATTGTCTGGCAAGGCACCTGCTGGCCTGATGATGATTTACTACAGGACTTGCATCCTTGCTAATATTCTTGCATGTATATGCAAGGTGAGTAATATATAAGGTATTTTGTCAAAAAACCATTGATCTACCAGATCAACAGATTTCAGGGTAAATAAAACCATAAGAAACTGCTCCTTGAGGACTGAATTCCTGCACAAATGCAGCAGAGAGTAGATATAATTTTGTATTTTAACACTCGAGATTTTCAGTGATGTCGTACCAGAAGTAATGTACTAGCAGGGGTGTTAATAAATTAATTTACATGTGCATGCCATGTTCCTCTTCCAAGGAAAGATTTCTTGCATTGCCTGTACATCTATTACTATACTGGTAACACAAGTAGTTCAAATCATACATGCTTCCACTAAATATGATGCCACACGATTTTGTAGAGCATAGTCACTGCACCAAGTATAAGTAAATATACGTTTTGCTTTTTAATGTCATTCGTTCAAATCATAGGGCTGTATTTCTATTATTATTTTAATCATATTCTCTTTAAACAAAGTGCCATTTTAATTCATTTAAACGTTTGAGAATATATCTCTATCTAACTAGATTTTAGGATGTTTTGTAGTTCGTTCCTCTTTTGTTTTCCTTGAGACCAAAGCCTTTATTCTGTTGTACTCGACTGGACTTGACGTCTCTATAATTAAAATATTTGGATTAATTAAGCAACAGGGGCTTCGCATTCTCCTCTTCTGCTGCTTTGAGAGCTGATAGGATCTAAATTTGATGATCGTTCCTAGCAGAATAAAGCTGCTTTTGACTTTCATCTTACTTTCAATATGATAAACAGCATGCACAGTGTCCTCAGTTTAATTAAAAAATGGCTAGTATCTATGAAAACTATCTATATTTGAGGTAGGTGCAGAAATGAAATAATGAAACTCCCACATTAAGCTGTTTAGATTCTAAAAGGACTAGTTGGGCCTTTTTTTTCGTTGGGTAAAGATTTTGATGCAGACATATTAGCTTGACATCAGGCCATTTCAGCCACAAGCAAATGTGTATGCAGTCGCAACTCTGGAGATTAACTCCTAATTTTTTATTTGGGGAAAAAAATCAGTTTTAAATATATATTTTAAATTAATTTAGGTCATTGCACTTCATTTAGTCGGTTACGTTTTGAGTTTGATCACAACCCTCTGCTGGCTTACTCTTTTATTGCTGTGCTTGTTTAGTGGTAACGTCACACTCAAAATGTCAAGAAGTCTATTTGCATTGGCTGTTTTGTATGGCATAGTTTTTATGCCCCGTTTAACAGCTACATGCCAAGCTGCTTTACTGCAATGACAAATGACCCCTCCTTCTGGCTGTGCTTTTTGAGCCACGACAATACTAAGACTTTTATGTACTCCAATAAATGCCTTTTTCTTTGCTTTATTTTTATTGTTTCTTTGCCCTTTCTTTTTGTTTCTTATTTCTTATGTTGATGCAAAATTTGTAAACAATTATTAAAGCAACCAAATAAAAAATTATCAAACTTGAGCCTTTTTTGTTCTTAAAAGTCACACACACAACCACACAGTCAGTCATTCTAAAAGATAGTGATGTTACCAAAGCAAGATCATATAATAAAGGAGTGGCCAACGTCCTCCCCACCCCAACCCATCCTCCTTTAGAAAAGAAAAAAGGCACTGTGCAAGCTCTGCTTACACCCAGTTTCCTTCCATCCAATCAGGCGATCCTTGAGAGCGGACGGACAGGTCGGGCTGTTTATGAGGAGCCTACAGGATGGGAGGAGGAGGGAGAATATCGGCCACTCCACCCGTTATAAATCGTCAGCGTCCCTTGCATACTCGCTGCACATCAAAGAGGAGGCCGATCTGGAGAGCGACCCAGAGTCACCTCTCAGCCATAACCACAGCTCCACACCCAGTGACCTTTTTAAAAATGGATCTGATTCCTGGAATTCCAAAACTCATTTTGGGGCTCTTCTCAAACTTAAAGCCAACACTGAGGCTAGTGAGCACCTTAAAGACATACCCAAATTGTTGGAAGCCGCTGGACTTTTGACAAAGTCACTTGCCTATGAGAAAGGAAACCTCCAGGAGGCCTTCACGGACCACAGCCTCTCTCTTTCTCATTCATCATCGTTTGACCTTAAGATTCCCCAGGTGCGAGTTTTGGCCACAGGAACAGACCCGTCTTGGGATTCCTTGTCCACTGAGTATTCAGGTTCACTTTGTGAGAACGGTCTGGAAAAGAAGCTCTGTTCCATCGTACCCAGGCACATCCAGAAAAAGAGCAGCAGAGGTTTAAATAGCTCAGGTTCGGAGAAGGAATACTGGCCTTGCGTCACTGACCGCCAAGCCTTGGGAGGAAACTATCCTCTGGATTCAGAGTCAGACCTAGGTAACAAGCAGCCAAGGAAGAAACGTGGGCGATATCGACAGTACAACACTGAGCTGCTGGAAGAGGCTATTGTGGTGGTGATGGGTGGGAAAATGAGTGTGTCCAAGGCCCAATCGATCTATGGCATTCCACACAGCACACTGGAATACAAAGTTAAGGAGCGACTGGGGACCTTGAAACATCCCCCCAAAAAGAAACTGAAGCTGATAAGCCAGATAGAGGAGCAGGGTGGTTCACAGTTCGCTGAGAGGAAAGAACTCCAAAACCCCCTGCACATTGTTTCTGAGAAAAGAGAGAGTACATCTGATGAGAATGGGAATGATTTCCATGATGGAAGCCTCTCATCAAATGAGTGATATCCGTAAAGTCCTAATAATGATGTCGTTTTTAACCAGACAAATGTTGTATTTGCAAGACAGTGGTAGGAGCTGACTTGTTTTTCCATAACACCTTAACATTTGTGTAACATTTAAATCAAATTACCCAAATTTATTATTGATTTAATTAATACATTATGTTTGTCTATGGTCATCTATTTTAAACACTCCAAGTGTCTCCCTGCCCTACAAAATGTGTTTGGAAGGTATACTTGCTGTTTGTACTACAGCATATTGTTAGTTAATGTCAGGTTATTTATTTTAGGTTATGCTTAAAATAATCATTTCTGACTCTATAAATGTATTCTTTACACACAGAGCCAAACTGAGGCATGTCTAAGGAAGTGGCGCCCCTCAGTGTTTTCTCTCAGTACTGTTCAGAGCACTTGATCATATGTTAAGTAATGATAAGTAAATTCTACTGAGTATGTAGGCTTGCAAATGTTTATGGATGACAGTGAAAGTCTCTCTCACTGTTTTGCAAATACAACTCTATGACTGAAATGGACACTGGAGATATGAGGAAAAACACTACTATAATTCAAAATATTTATTAATTCCAAAATATTTGTTTATTATGCTAGTTTGTCGGATTAGCATGGTCTGTTGTCCAAAATTTCACTTTCCTTTTTAAGACTATCTTTAAAAGCATGACGCGTTTTTGACACCTTTTTTTGTTTTTTCTGTATGTTTTACTGAACTATATTAATGGTAATAGTTTTTTTTCATTGCCTTCACTGCACTCAGGATAATTTCACATAGGAATGCAATACTTGTCAGTCAAAGAAAATGTCTTTATTAGATAATGAGTTACTGTAAGCACATAAATATACCTCAGCTACAGATATGCTTAATTAAATCATTGCCTCATACAAGTCACCTCTAACAGGGAAAGCGTAGCACACCCAAACAGCTCTTTGAGGTAACATTTCAGGATGTCTTACTGACAAGTATGTGTATCCAACTCTCCAACTCTGCCCTTACAACCTACCTTAGCTAGTTATCAGTAGCAGTTCGATGCTAGTGTAGCCCTTCACAGCATTTCAGGTCTACATGATTTAGGGCTTGTCTTTTTCAGATTTCAACTATTATCTCTGGCATGTCTTTCTCTCAGACACGAGAAAGGCAGGTTTTTGTTCTGTTGATTTATCACAATAATGCAAAAAAAAAAAACAAGTATTACCATACATATATAGAACACACACACACACACACACCTTGCTTGCCCATGGCACATGATAAAGACTTGTCTCTTCAGGTCAATTAAGAACAGTTGCCTGGTTTGTGTTGATAATAACTTGTTGTAGTAACCTAATTCTTCGCAGTCACAAATAGTGCATTAGCTAAACTTTTGGCATCAGATAACTCCTAACTCTAAAATACATACAAGTATTTTTGAAAATGCTTACTTACACTAAATATAATCTAGGTGCATTATTATCATTTTTAGACAGAAGTCTTTATTTTATAAAACACAGAACTTGGTCAATATTATCAATAAGCAATATTAGCAGATAGAGCTTAATATGCTAGCTGACTGTGCTAGCTTGCTAACATTTGCTAGCTAGCAAAGTTAACTTGTTAGCTACTATTACAATCATGCCTCAATCCATATAAACCTGTATCTCAAGTTACTAAGGCAAAAATTCAATGAAAATTTTGTTTCATCTCTGTAGAGGGGAAATGTGATAGTTCATCGCCTTGCTGTCAGGGTTCCAAGATAAATTACTTGAATTAGTGAATATAACGTATAAGCATTGCATTTGAAAGTCCCCTTAGAGATTTAGCTAAATTTCATCAGTTTCTTCAGTCTCAGATTTACTGCAATTTTTTGGAATATCTGTGTGGATGATAGTTGTTCATTTCTGCTATGTTTTATGGATTAGTTTTTTTTTTTTTTTTTCCCAAGTAAAAAAAAAAACATGCAAGGGTGTCGGTGTGTGGGGCTATACCAAAGCTCAGGTTGATGCCGCGTCCTTACATACATGTCATGGTGCTGTTACCATATGTAAAGGTTACGGATGAAAACCTTTTTTTTTTAAAAAAAAAAAAAAAAAAAAAAAAAAAAAAGGCCTTTCACCATTACATGCAATTTTCACTGAATTTTTGCCTGGCGGACTTGGCAGAGGGAACTCTCTGTTTCAACTCTGCCTTGTCCATTATTTTGCTCTATTAGGACACCTCATTGTGCATTATCACTTACACATCAGGATATTTCAAAGTATGGGTTCATGGCCCATTATTCAACTCTTTTTTTTTTTTTTTTTTTTTTTTTTGCAATTTTTCTCAGCCTTTTAGATATACACTGTTAGAATGAGGATGTTTTCATTAGAGAAATAATTCCTTAACAACAAGCAGTTAACTCGGATAGATATTACATAACACTGTTAAAATAGTAAACATTTTTTTGTGAGAGTTGGTTCAAGCATTAAAATATAGTTTAGGGACTTTCACACTTGTTTGTTAATAGCACTGTAACAATAGTATGCCTTTATGTTCAACTTACTGACTAATTTGCTGGCCTCCTATTCTTAGTTTTTGCTACTTCTTGCACTATATGTAGATATGTTTTCTTCCTGGTCCAGACCTCACTGGAGCCCTAAGCAAAATTCTGCTAAGGTGTCCTCCTACCTGACCCGAGAGCCATGTAAACCATTTTTAAATATAAAAAACTATTTATACAATAGCTTGGCTTAATACTTTATGGTTATATACTGAGGAATTAACATACATATTGCCCAGTATGCCCAGCTAATCAAGATTTTAAATTCAATTTTTAATTCATAGTCAAAGTCACTCCATTGCTTCCCATGTTGTATTAGTCCAGAGTTGTAACTAAACCTGGTCACCACGGAGGTTGCTGTTGGATAGCAAAAGTTTTATTTTGTGTACGTGCATATGAACACGTTCATTTGTGACATGCAAGCTGCAGTTTATGAACACCATTTCCTGTTGGCGCTTATCAAATAAATAATTATAGTTATTTATTATAACTTTATTAACATTATTTATTTTCTAGTTATATAAGTAGTTGTATCTCATTATCAGGCGCAAAGTCACAGAACACAGCCCTGGAAGTGGCTGGCAAGCAAGCAAGACACAGAGTAGAGAGAGATGCACATAAACTTAATGTTACTGTTATTTGCTGACATCAAACTAGAAGAAGAGAAGTTCATCTGATTGCTGTTCCCGCAATTCACTGTCATTTTTTTTTCTTTTTGTGACCAGAAGTATAGTTCCATGTGATCCTTTCATCTAAGTTGTTAACACTAATACTCGCTTTAACATGAGGGGTAGGCTGGGCCCCAGCGTAATTTTCAGGGCCCTTTGTAACTTGCTTAGTGAGCTTATAGGACCGCCCAGCTCTGATTCAAGCTCTCTCATGGGACATTTCCACCACTCTTGGGGGCCCTCTGGTGGCCACAGGGGCCCTAGGCAGGCCATTAGATTACTTATATGTCGTGTTGGCTTTATGGTGTGCATTTCCTCTCCCTCCAAGTTAAAACTCTTTATTTTTCGTAACTGATGAATCGTTAATTAAATTATTCTTGCATTGACAATCATCCAGCATTTTTTAAAAGTCACAGTTTATTTTCTCATTAAGTGTTTAATGCATTTTAATTAATATATTATAAACTTGCAAGCGCTTTGGGTTAATTGACAGGTAACGCATATATTTATGCTCCTCATTATCTATTGTAGCAAATGATATGGTCGACTACCTCATCTGAAAAACCCATATCACACTCTACTGTTCTCATAGCTGTTTTATGTAGCAGCTTGTCATGTACACAACACATATTTTATCGTGAAGCAAATAGCTTACAGAAAGAGCTGTTATGAAGTTGATATAAGACTCTGTTCTACCATTTGTAAATATTTCAGTGTATCCTTGTAGTTAATTGCACCGTGATCTGATTAATGTTTTCTATGTCTCAATTCTTTGTTCTTTTCGGGTGATGATGGTGTAAGCTTGTTGTTTTTTTGTTTTTTTTGGACAGTTGTGACAAAAGCAATTTTCGTGGTGTCCTGCTTCCGAGAAACCTTTTTTTTGTGAAAGTGGGGGAAGAGTTTATCTCCCCTTACATACCTATTCACATGTTTGGAGTTGTTTTGTTAATGCAGTATTTATTGATTGATACTTATTAATTAATGGTTTTAGCAACATTTAAGTAACCATGAATGTAAACGGCTTTAATAAAACAAAAACTAACTCGTAGAAGTGTATATATATGTGTGTGTGTATATATATATATATATATATATAATATATTATATATATATATGATACCTAATTATATAATAAGTAAAAGGTATATTTAATTCTTGTACATGATAGATATGAAGGGATAACTTTTAAGATTGTCCCACTTTATTTCAACACAAGTTGGGTATTTTCTGCTTGGCAAAAGGACAAAAGTCTTTAGATAACTGCAAATTGTGTGGTTCTCCAAATGACTATATATAATCTATAAATCTATAAAGCCTATGTACAGATTTTTTTATTTTTGATTTAACATTTCCAATGTTTAAAGGAATGACACTGGGTGTATTTTGCATGATCGGACTAAATCATATGTGTCAGTGTCAGTTAGTTGTATATGGTGAAGTTTATCTTTGAGGATCTTTTATTTAAAGTGTTGGCGTGTTTACTGTCAAGTGAACAATGTATCAAGTAGATTAACTGTGATCCTGAAATATCACTAAACCAATTCAAAATGTGGTTATTGGTTCAGTGAAGATGTATGATAAAATACCGTCATACAGTAGTTGATAATTGCCGTATTATTTATGTCCCTAATGTACAGTATATGAACATTGTGGATGAGTCAACACGTCCATATCTGTGTGGTTGTAAAATATTTTGGAATTGAGTTGGAATTTAGTTTGGTTCTGCTTGTTAGATTTGTTATTTTACTCCTGTGGAAGAAAAAGACATGTACTTTGTGTCAGTCTCTTACTGCAATGCTAAATGAAACCAAGCGAAAACCCTCAGGGATGAAACCCTTACCAGTAGTTATTCAGGTATTCCAGTTTACTCCTTAGACTTTGCAAGCAGGGATGCGAAATTAATGAGCTTAGCAAAAAAGTTGGTCAGGTTCCGGTTGCAGCAAATGTTATTTTTCTAATCTCTAAAATTTATTTTTTAATCTCTAAAAGTTACATTCGAAATATTTTGGCATGCTGTACAAATCATTTTATGTTTTCCAGCCAAAAAACATCAGTACACATTTTCACTGTTTTATTATTTTTATACTTTGTTGCACAATGAATGTCAATATAACCTCAGGTCAGATAAGATGTTGACCACTGGGGTATTAAATTAACATGTTTCTTTACAGTTCAGTGCCCCAAACAGGACACATTAAATAAAAACATACTGCTTAATGTAACATCCTAAAACTGTTGTATACAAACACAATGCTAGTTTATAGTTACCGGACTGCTTTAAACAAATATTAGTCGACAGAGTGTCAGAATTTTTTACTGACTACATCTTCATCTTGCAGTTGCCAGCACCTATTGCTCTGCAAAGCAATTTCTCTTTTTTATCACTCAATATAGCCTTGTGACATGTCACCTCAGGAATCCAGATCTGGTTTCATTTGTCCATTCATTTTCTTCTTAAAAGACCACAGTGTAGCTTGGGAAATACTTGCTTTACAAAGTTATATATAAGAGTTATAAGATAAATATATTTTTGGCATAATGTGACGGTATAAATGCTCCAAAGATATCGGAGAATTTTGTAATAGATCTACCTCACTGACACAACTTCAGCCAAATATATAAAACATGCCCCCCCCCCAAAGAAAGAAAACCTCACAGGTATTAGAATAACTAATTTTGCTTATGTTCAGTCATACCTGATGTTTCTTTTACTGGTTTAATTTGTTTCAAGTTGTTGAGCACTTGTGTCTAAATGTCACCTCTACACTAGTCATTGAATACACGAAAACTTTTCAAAATGATGTACTCTATATTTGCCCCAGTGTATTTGCTCTTTCAAGTGATAAATGTGTTTGAATTGTTTTAATCAAAGTGGGCCACCATTACTATATGTCTTGTGCATGTAAAACATTTTCTTGATGTATACTGTAACAAAAAGCACCACTGTGCAAAGAAGAAAAATGTAATAGTTGTAACAATGTAATTGGTAGAGTTCACTGGATGAAAGGTTCACTTTTAAAATCACTTATTCTTCTAATAAATATGCAATGACAAACATTGTCATACATTTGTGAATTATTTCTCACAAACATTTAGCTCCATCACTTTTTGACAATTTTGCTAGGGACTTGTAGCAATGAATTTTTCTCCATAAATGTAATAGTCACATAGCAGTCAATATTATGAACCAATGTTGCTTATTCTTGATGTGTAGTTACATCTATTTTATTCTTTTTTTCCTTTCAGTGAGACTCCAGACTCGCGTGTTGCAAAGGCAAAAGACCTGCAGTCCACCTCCACGCTGGAACAGTTCATGGCCAAACTCTGCCCCCACCATCAGAGGCAGATAGTAGATGCCATAGGTTTTCTACAGACAGAGGTCAAAGCTCTTGCATCCTCCAATACACAGCAAGCCTCTAACTCTACCTTTGGGATACAGGGAAATGCTTGTTCCACTGCAAAATCCACTGCAGTCACACCTGAGAAGTCATGCCTGGAGTTGAGGTTTCCCACAGAATCCAGTCCCAAGTCAGAAGTCCAGGATATGTCCCATTCTATCCCAGGCAGTTGTGCAATGAAAAAAGTTCCAGAGGATGCGGTGTCGCTGAAAACATCAGTTACTGCTGGCCCTGCTTTGGACCTTCGCAGCCCTGGGTCAGGGAGTAACCATGCTTTGGTCACTCCCAACACTAATCCAGTGGATACAGAGAACACCCGGCACGGTGATCATGCACCTCTTAAGATGAAAATCATGGCCAGCAATGTTGCTGATGGTAAGAAGTTGTCATGTGTGCTCAATGCCTCTCTTTCATCTCACTCTGATACTTCAGAGGACAGACAGGGTAACTCAAATTCATCCAACAAAACAGAGACTCATAGTGCTAGACTCAGCTCCTCTGTGAAAAGACACAATCAAGCTAGTCACACACATCAAGCTAGGCAAAGAGAGACTCTCGGGCATGCCAAAGATACACCAGCAAAACTGTTGTCAGTCCACATGACCATTCCTCCAGACTCTCCACGGACTGCTAGGAAGACCATCAAGGCATCCTCTGATCATCGGACAAGAGACTCTGCTTGTAGGGTACTGGCTGACCCTGATCTCGGCCACTGTGACATTGTTTTTATTGACAAACCAATTACAGAGTGTTTTAAGGAGCAGCAGCGTGGCATACTTCCACGCCGTAATGCCAGAAAAAGCACCAGAGGACACATGTATTCAGATGAAATCTGGGAGTTAAAAACTGTCCGTACATTGGCTGGAAGGGGCAACTGTCCTAATCCAATGCCAGAACTGATCACATTGGTCACACCAAAACAAATACTTTCAAAACCTGAAGGTGTACCCCCTGTGGATATGCCTTTTGCTGGAACATGCAGGGAGACAATGAATCAGCAAATGTCCCCAGAGGAGTCAGATGAGAGTGTGATACCAGGAACAGGAGATGTGGTGGAGGTAGCAGACAGTGAAGTAGATGTTATAGTTGAAACTAGTCAGACTGATCAGTGTCAGAATAAGGGGCTGTCTACTCCTCCATCTCCGATAAGGTCCTCAATAGAGAACAAAGAAACAGATAGGAACACAGATCTAGAACAGGATACAACTGCAGATTCACAGACGATAACAGTAGGTGAAGAAAGTATTGCTCAGGCTCCATCTGAAGCAGAAAAATATGATAAGCCTGAGCCTCAAGAGCACATACCTGAAAGTACCAAGCAAACAGTCCCAGAAACATTAGCGGAACCATTACAAAATATTACAATAGAAAAAGCTGAGACCAAGGTTTCATCAGATAAACAAAACAGTGAGCCTGTTCTCCAGGAGAATAGTGCCCCATCACCTGTGAATCAAGTCGAGGAAGAGATCAAGGAAAATGAAAGGGAGGAAATACAAGATGAGCAACCTCAGGAACTTCAGCCAGAGACACAGTTACGCTATAACAACTTTGAAGTAGCAGAAAAATCCAACACCATAAGTTCATTAGAGCAGCCAATGGTGAAAGAGCTAGAAATTGAAACACTTGAAGCAGTTGACAGTGATATTCCTTTTACGACTGAAGATGATAATAATGAATATGATGTGTCTGCAAAGACACTTGATGCGCTCTTGAAGGAATTACCCCCTTGGCGTAGAAAAAGAGGCACTATAATCTCACTGCCAAAGCGGTTAAGACAAACAGAATCAGTGATTGTGGGTTATGTTAATGGTAGGCCCATATCGGCCTCTGACAGAAGTTTGCGTCGTAGATCAAGTAACAGCACCACATCACCTAACAAAACTCCAGTGAAATCCAGTCAGGATCTACCCAGTAAAGCCTCTCCTGCTTCTCCTGATTCAGCTATTGATTCAATTGTTGAAAACAAACATTTGGAGAAACATCTACCTGAAACACATATACCTGTAAATTTGAGTGAGACTACTTCTGTGATTGAGCAGGTGACAGAACCATCTCCTGACACAGCATCAATCCCAACATCTAAAGTTCCTTCAAGGACCAAACAAATCCAGAAACAAAAGAGAGTTCAGAGAGATCAAGATAGTTTGCCTGTCCTCTCTGATCAGCTTGTTGACAGTCCTCAGAGCACTGATTCCAAACGGCAACTTAGATCAACCAGCCAGAAGCCGGCTGGAACTCCAGTATCACCGCACACTGCAAATGCTGTCTCTTCCACTTCATCTCCAAAACCATCTGCTACCCATGCTCCTCAATCTACACAGCAGCTTCCCTCCCTCCCCCTTCCGTCTCCGCTTCCTGTTACCTCTACTCCTCTAATAAGGTCATCTCCCCCTGCACCCTCTGAACAGTCCCAACAGAACACAGTTCCAGAGACAAGTATGGAATTTAACACAGAAGAATCGCAGCCAGTAGAGACAACCTCTGAAGAATTACAAAAAAATGAAGTAGAAAGTGGATTGGCAGCCAAACAAAGGTCTGCAAAGGTTGTCGTAGACGACAGTAAGAATGAGACACAGCAACTTAGCGGGGAGGTAGAAAATCAATGTCCTGTAAAGACTGAAATGCAGACACTGATTATGCCATTAAGAAGTAAACGGGTTCTCCGAAAGGACGCTGAAGCAGCTGATATTGCTTTGCCACAGAAGCCAAATGTAGCATCTTTAGAAGACAGGTTTGCAAGTGGAGATGATTACAATACATCCTCTATATTGGACAAACCCACAAGAATGCCATTAAGGAGTGAAAGCAGTAAGACCGAAATGTTCCACCAGTCTGTTACTCAGTCGCCACAAGTGGACAACAAGAAATTAGCTTTGAGATCACAAAGATTGGCTTCACCTTCTACCAGTTCTCTTGCTGTAGCTGGAAGACAGACTGACGTAGCTTCCCCTATCAGAATGATGTCAGAAAGAATAACTAAAGCTCAGGTGAAGTCCCCTCCAGTGTCTGTGTTGCCCCACAGCTCAGCCGTCCCTGTCATTACATCAAGACCTGAGCCCCCAAAACAATCTACAAACAAATTCTTTGAGACTCTTACTGGAGAGGAAAACCAACACCTGATTACAAATTTAAACGTTAAGTATGATAGAATGCAAAAAGGTTGGGTACAATTGGACAAAGAGGGTCAGCCGGCAACAAAATACAAAAATAAAGCAGACAGGCAGGCAGCTATTTGGAAAAGTAAACGCAGGGCCCGAAAACCAAAGTTTTCAGAGCACCAGAAATACTCACCAGTCCAAATGCTCTTTATGAAAGGTTTTAATCTCACCAGTATTTGTCGTTGGTTCCTTGAATCAACAGAAACAAAGTCTCTTGTCATTGTTAAGAAGGTGAATACACGTCTTCCGTCAGAAACACAGCTGTGCTTCCACAGCTCATCTAGTGCTTCAGGGACCTCTCAGGGGGTATTTCCAAGCCTACAGGCAGAGCGCTTAAAGAAACATTTGAAAAAGTTTGCCATCGCTTCACCTGTAAAGAGCAACCCCAAGAGTCAGAAATTGATTGCTAAAGCCCTGGAGCAAGAGGCAAATACAGTCAAAGGGAAAGAGAGGAGAGAATTTCACAGTACTACTCAGACTTTGACTAAGTCACACTCCTCTACTGAAGCCCCTGTACAGATAAGTGAATCCCAGAAATCCTCTGGTAAATCAAAGAATCCAGCTAGTGCAAGGATCTTGAGGAAATACTCTAATATCCGAGGGAAGATGCAGGTTCAGCAAACTAATGTTAGACTGAAAAAGGCCTCAAAAACCTTAAAAACCAATAATATGAAAAGAATGGCCACCGCAAAGTCTGTGGCAAAGTCAAATCTGAAACCATCTCTGAAGGCACAGAAGTCAGCCCTACCTGTTAGTAAACAAATGAAAGAATCTACGGCAAAAATGGAAAGAAGGAAAATATTGGTTGACAAAAAAATTGTAAAGCATCCTGTTCAGGAGAGAGCAGTCAAGGCCCAGAGCAGTAGTAGAGCTTCAAGAGACACAACTAAAAAAGAATTGCCAAAGAGATGTTCTCAACGACTAGGGTCTCCGAAAATATCTGAACATAACCCTGGCGACACATCTAAAAGCAAGATTGACAGTAAAAAGCCAAGTGAAGCAGAGAGAGTAGAGGTGGAAAAACCTACAGTGAATAAAATGCATGCTGTGAAAATCCAAACAAAGGAATCAGCACAAAGTACACTCGCTGAAATCAAAGTTACAGAGAATGCAGTTGAAACCCCTCAACAGAGCACCTCACCTGACCAGGTACTAACAAGATCCCAGAGAAAAATGGAGGTGGCAGTCCCTTTGAGTGGGAGCCCCAGTCATGCTTCAAAGAGGGCCCTAAAGTCCATGACAACACAGAAAGCATCTTTGAAATCAGCCAGGAAAGCTGAGGAGCCCACGCTGACACGAAGGTGCACTTTAAAATCCCCTGCAAAGACACGTCAGGCAGCATCGTTGCCACGTGGTGCAAAAAAGCCTGCAAAAAAGAGAGCTCAGGAGCTTCTAGAGACCCCAGCTAAGCGCACCAGGACATCAAAATAAAGTGGACCTGCAGAGAGAGATCATCTTTATTTAGAGGATTTTGTGAATATATTCAGAAGGACCAGAAGTATCTATTTTGTATTCTCACTGAACCCTTCAGAGGATACCTTTTTCAGTAGGCAAATGTGTGAAGAAGGAACAGATTTTGAAATTTCATTTATGCTTTTGTAAAGCTTCAGTGTGAAATTGCAGATGTGCTGGATTATTTGCTGAGCGTTTGCTCTGTGTTCAGGGACTACAGACAAGTTCCTACATGACGTCTAGCAGATGTAGTTGCAGTTTGGCTTTATGTTCCAGCACTCTACGACATGGCTGGAGATAACAATAGTCTATCAAACCTCATTTTAAAAGTTAGGATAACAAAAACTAAGCTATGATGCAGTTATCAAGGTGACGTTAAATTCATTCACCATCCTCCTTTTGTTTCTTTTTTTTTTTGCCATTTTGTATATAATTATTGTTTTAGATGATAGTATACACTGCATTTACAGTTCAGAGAGCTTGATGTGAGAAGGGTGATCAGCTTTTGAATAAAAATTTTACAGTCAGTAGGCAGTTTGTATCTCCAGCCTGTCTTCTAATCACAACATTGTGAATATGTGACTGTTGTGACCAGGTGCCTTATTTATGAAGTGTAAAGTAATAGAATGTGTTGCTTAATGTGAAAACTCCTGTCCTCTAGTTGTAACAGCTTTCAGTCCCTTGAGAGGCAGTCAATATTCCTTTGCTACACGGAGCGTGTGCAAAATGTTTGTGTTCCACAAAGTATGTGCCTCGTGCTTCATCTGTAAATTCTTATGTTGACTGACAGGTTTATTTTATATGCCCATTTTCCCAGAGCGTTAACATACAATGGTTCTTATTATAGTTGTATTAGGTGTTGAAGCAAATACGAGGATTGTTAAAACAGGCATGTGTGCTCTGTATGTGTCAAGATAAAAGTTTGTGTTTTTTATGTTGTTTTTGGTCAGTTTTCATCACCTGTGCAGTCCAATTGTTATCTGCTCATAATAGAGACTTCACTTTGAGTATTTTACCTGCTTCTGCATGTGTTAAGTTTTGTCAATGTGGAGACAAGAACCAGAACTGTTTTCACGCCCCTGATCTTTGAAAATACTAACACAGTTCAAGACTATGCATGCACATTTAGTGCGCATCAAAAAGTTGTACTGAAAACCCATGTGAGACAACTTTGGGAAACTGGCTTTTCTGTCACTTTGGCAACAATATTTCCAAGCAACAAAGGCCTGAAAAGTATGTATATTTGGTTGGTTAATATGAATGAAGCATATGGTCTCTTTAGCATTAATGGCACATTACAGGGTGATAAATTTGTTCCCTTGATTATTCACAAGTTGGATATGAAATTTTTGAGGTAGTCTAGTCACACTTCTGAGTTATGTATCCAAGTATGTTGCAGTTTTATTGTTATGTTATTGTTTTTTATTGTCATTGATTGTCAGGCAGATGTTCTCATAATGTGAAGTTTCTTTACTTTCACAGTAGTAACTTGCATTAGTGTCTCGTCAAAGGAAAAATACCAGTTTTAGCACAGTGTTATTTTTTTTATTATTATGGTCAATTCTCTTTAGAGGGTAAATCATCTGTAAATGCAAAACATGTCTGTCATGTTTTTATTGTTATTTAAGAATGCCATGCAGGCTAATGAATTTAGCAAATCTAAAACAGCCCACCAAATATCAGACTTGAACATGTTTATTCTTTACAGTTGCTATTTAAAGATTTTCATTTTGTATATTAGAAAGAAATAACTGCTTTATTTGTGGTAATCCCAAGAATGATACATCTTTATGTTAAGAACTTTGTATTTTTGCTGGAGTTGATATAAAGATGTTTGAATTTTATATTTGGTCTCTTGGCTTATTTATACCAGTTTATGTTATTTAACCAAACAAAGTTGAACTACTAATTGTCACTGTGAAAACTAAAGGGGTCAGTTTGCTTGAAACAAATGAGATTTAAATGCAGAAGTGTTTATACGTGTTCAGAGGGAAAAGCCCAGTGTCATGGCTGCCTCCTGGTATCCCACTGTCTTTATGGTCTCTCTCAAGAGCTGGGGATAATGTCATATTACACATATGGATCGTCTCTCCTTAAAGGCATTTAAAGGCATTCACAGTATTTCACTTGTTTGTAAACACAAAAAGAGAAGTTAAAATGCTACTAACCGTCTCACCTCCACATACCATGATCCAATAAGCTCCTAATTTGCATTAGCATTCTGACCCCTTAATGTCCTGCCATGCAAATATTTACCTCCATTCATGAGAACTCGGCAGTTGAGGCACCCGTCCTGTTGGATTGCGCCTGCATGGCAAGTCTGCCAGTTTCGTAACATGCCTTGATGTAGCCAATGAAGGCATTTCACATAACGGGGACCTGCCACGACCTGCCATACGGCTCACAGGCGAGAGTCCTGAGCACCACAGGAAGCTCCCACTGTGGGACAGATTGGTAAACAGTTTGCCTCCTTCACCTCAGTCCCTGCAGAAAACAGAGGGGGAATGAACAATGACTTCTCACCAAAACAGAAGTATCATGTTGCCACATTTGTTAGTAGTGAGCTACAAACTTTGCCAATTTGTTTTAGCCTGTTTTGTTAACATTTTATCAAATTGGCACCATTAAATCTGTGCTAAATTAGCCATTGGCAATTCTTGTTTGCAATGTACCCGTCAAATATCACTGCAGAAATTTGATACTGAAGAGAACTTAAAAACACAAAGGTTTTCAGGTAAGTTCTGGGGTTAAAACCGATGCAATATTTCTCAGATTTATGGAGGTTTATTCATGGATGGTGTAGGTTTGAATATGGAAAGTAGGGACATTTTTGAGGACAGAATTGTCCCTAAAGATATTTGAGTGAACTCGGAAGCTACGTCACAAAATTACATATGAAACCTGTTAGAAATTGGAACAATATCATATATTGGCATATATTTATAGCTAATAGAAACATGTATTTAAATATGTCTGTTTATATTACATATAAATGTTACGTAAATATATGTCCATTATAAATCCTGTCAGTATATACTAGTATTATATATCTAAATATAAAAGATAAACGTGTATGTATGAATTTAATCAGAGGTTATTGAAAAAATCATATACAAATATGTCGAACTTTAATAAGAATGTAGTATAAGGCATGAGACGTCATAGAAATGTCAAATTACAGTAAGGCATAAAAACCTCAAAGTATAGTATCGTCATAAAAATGTCATAGTATAGTATGGAAAAAAGTAATAAAAAGGACATAGTATAGTAAGGCATGAAAAGTCCTAAAAAGTCATAGTATAGTAAGCCATAAAAAGTCATAAAAACGACATAGTATAGTATGGCATAAAAGTTAAAGAAAGTCATAGTATAGTAAGGCATAAAAAATCATAAAACAAAATAGTATAGTATGGCATAAAAAGTCATAAAAACATCATAGTATAGTAAGGCATAAAAAGTCATAAAAACGACATAGTATAGTATGGCATAAAAAGTCATGAATACATCATAGTATAGTAAGGCATAAAAAGTCATAGTAAAGTAAGGCATAAAAAGTCATAAAAACGACATAGTATAGTATGGCATAAAAAGTCATGAAAACATCATAGTATAGTATGGCATAAAGAGTCATAGAACGGACATAGTATAGTAAGGCATAAAAAGGCATAGTATAGTAAGGAATAAAAAGTCTTAAAAACGACATAGTATACTATGGCATAAAAAGTCATGAAAACATCATAGTATAGTAAGGCATAAAAAGTCATAGTATAGTAAGGCACAAAAAGTCATTAAAACGACATCGTATAGTATGGCATAAAAAGTCATGAAAACGTCATGGTATAGTATGGCATAAAAAGTCATAGTAAAGTAAAGCATAAAAAGTCATAAAAACTACATAGAATAGTATGGCATGAAAAATCATGAAAAGGTCATAGTATAGTATGGCATAAAA